TCCCATTCAACCCAGTTATTCCTCTTCTGGATATCTTCCCAAAAGAATAAAAACATCATACCACAGTGATATATGTGTACCTATGCCTATAAAAGCACAGTTTATAATAGCCAGATCTTGGAAACAACCTAAATGTCCATTGATTGAGGAACAGATAAAAAAAGATGTGGTAGGGGTTGGGGATTTAGCTCAGTGGCATAAATGTCTGCCTGGCAAGCATGAGGTTGTGAGTTCAATCCCCAGTACCAAAAAAAAAAAAAAAAAAAAAAAAAAAAAAAAAAAAAGATGTGGTATTTTTAATGCACTGGAGTACTACTCAGCCATAAAGAAGGATAAACTGGACACTTCTATAGGTAAATGGATGCAACTTGAGAACATACTCATTAGTGAAATAAATAAGACACACAGGGAGCCAGGGATTTATCTCAACAGCATAAGCGCCTGCCTGGCAAGCATGAAGTCATGAGTTGGATCCCTGCTACAAAAAAAAAAAAGACATACACATGTAAACATTGTATTTTTTTTTTTAGGTACTGTAGATGAAACTCACATCACACTTGCCAGGCAGGTGCTTATACAACTGAGCTAAATCCCCAGCCCATGTAAATATTGTATTGTTTCATTAGTGTGACAAGCTGAAAGAAAAAACATGTATATGTATATAAAAAAAGTCAAGATATTTATACTACTGATTTCTTGGAGTTCACTAAAGAGAAAGATTTGTGATGATATTGTTTGGACAATTGAATGCAGATGTCTTGGGCTCTGGATGAATGATTGGGGATGATAGTGCACAATGTATATACCATTGTTGCCCCGATTGATGTGTTTTGAAATTTTGTTGTGGTTTCTTCTTCCTCCTCCTCCTCTTCTTCTCCATCTCCTTTTCCTTGTCTTCTTTTCTCTTTCTTTTTATCCTTGAATAAAATGGACTTTAAAAAAACAGAGTGGTTGCATAGCATGCACAAGGGCCTGGGTTCAAGGCCCAGTACTGAAGAGAGAAAAAAAAAAAAAAAAAGCCCCCGGGTGTTTCTCAGCTAGGCTCAGCTGTATTGTGTATCTTATTTAAAGGGTTTTTGGCACCTCTAGTCAAACATGTGGTGCACACCTGTAAACCCAGCTCTTCTGAGGCTGAGGAAGGAAGACTGGGAGTTCAAGGCCAGCCTAAACTACATACACAGCACTATCCTGTCCAAAAAATAAATAAATACGAGAAACCACACAGATTTGGAAGTATTTTGTTATGGCAGGACTTACAGACTAATACAGTGATTATTTGAGACTATGGGGCTATCCTGGTCTCTCAGTTTTTTGCATTGCTGTTTTTAAAAAATTCAGTCACTTCTACATATTCCTTTTCCTATTCTTTGTATTTATGTTTCAGGGCCAGAGATTTAGCTCAGCAGCACAAGTATCTGCCAGAAAGTGTGAGGTCATGAGTTTGATCCCCAGCACCCCCCAAAAAAACCAAAAACAAAAACTGGTGTATTTAATCTTTAATTTTTTTACTTTTTTTGGGGGGGGGGTTCCAGTAATTGAACCCAGGACATTGCACTTGCCAGACAGGAACTTGATTGCTGAGCTATATCCCTGGCTTATTTTATTTTTGGCTGTGTTTTGAGAGAGGGAGAGGGTCTCACTATGTAGTGGTCTCACTACGTAGTGGCCTTAAACTCACAGTGATCGGGGCTGGGGATTTAGCTCAGTGGCGTAAGTGCCTGCCTTGCAAGCAGGCAGTCGTGAGATCGATCCCTGGTACCAGCAAAAGACAAAAAATAATTTAAAAAAAAAAAAAAAAAACCGGTGATCTTCTTGCCTTGGCCTCCTAAGTGGTGGGATTATAGACATGCACCACCATGTAGGCTATTTTTGGCTTTTTTTTTTTTTTTTTTTTGTACTGTGACTCAAACTCAGGACAGGCAGTCACTATGCCACTGAGCTACATGCCCAGCATTTTTGGCATTTTTATTTTTATTTTTTTGGTACTGGGGATTGAACTCAGGACTGCACGCTTGCGGGGCAGGCGCTTATGCCTGATCTAAATCCCCAGCCGGCATTTTTAAATTAAACTTTAAGAAACACTTCTAGGTAATTTTTTTTTCTTTCTCTTTTTCCCTTTTTTTGGTACCAGGGATCAAACTCATAATCTTGTACTTACCAGGGAAGCACTTGAGCCACTGAGCTAAATCCCTAGCCCTCTATGTAATTCTTTTGTACTTCATAAATAGTCACATTCAGAATGTTTTCCCTTAACAATCAAGTTACCCCTGTTCCTACGGGAACACCAACTCCTCCACCCTTCCCTGAGTCCAGCTCTCTGTTTCTTGCTCATCTTGCTTTTCTGTCCTTTCCACCCTTACCATTTCCTCATCTTCCACCTCTCTTAACTTCTCTCCTCTCCAAATCCAACACTCTGACACTTGAGGATGCACTCTCAGCAGGCTCTAGAATTCCTTTAGTTCTGTTCTAAAATGCTCTTGGGTTTGACCTCTTGGGCAGGTATCGAAGCCCCTCTGAGAGCTGGAAAACAGAACTGGCTTAGAATAAAGGAAGATCTGCTGGATTCAGTGCCAGTAGCTTTTCCTCCACCAGCAAGTCATCTGTAAAGTCTAACATTTAAAATCTCACGTTGTGCTGGGCATGGTGACGCACGCTTGTAATTCCAGCACTGGGAGGCTGAGGCAGGAGGATCACTGTGAGTTCGAGAGCAGTCTGTGCTACAAAGTGAGCTCAAAGCCAGTATGAACTGCATAGTGAGACCCTGTCTCAAAAAGGCAAAAAACAAAACAAAACAAAAACCCCCTCACATTTTAAGAGTTGAAAATTGTAATTTTTAGGTGAAAAAGATATGTTATCTCTATTATATTATTTAATTTCACAAAAGTACCTTATTTGAACTTTTGACTTTTTTAAGCACTTATGCTGTTGAGCTAAATCCTCAGCCCCTACTTGAACTTTTTGTTCAAACTGTTCCCAAGACTAGGTGTGGGGGAGATTTAAAAAGAAATGACTTTTCTAACTTAACTATGACCTTCATGGGAATGGACTCATGATTAAAAGTATATCCCAGGAGACTATAGGTGTTCTGGAAATTGACATCAGCATAAAGACAGTTTGCCTTTTGGTGGGTTCAGAACATGACAGTAGGCTGGAAGTGGTAGGGCAAGCCTCTAATCCCAGCACCTGGAAGGCAGGGGCAGGAGGACTGCCATGAGTTCTAGGCCAGCCTAGGCTCAGAAGTGAGTTCAAGGCCAGTTTGGAAGACATACTGAGACCTGTTCCAAAAAGAAAAAGAAAAAGAAACAAAAGAACAAGACAGAGAGTAAGAGCCAGATGGAGTGGGTTTCCGTGCAGGTAGCTAACAAACAGCCCCAAGCACAGGCCTATAGTGGTTCAAGCTGGACCCAAGCTCTTACCTCACCCATGACTGTCACGGAGTTAATGAGCTCAAGGGCGTTAAGAGAAGTGACCAGTCCCCCCAGCCCACAATCTCAATGTTCTCATCAATGATAAAAGAAGTGGGGGCTGGGGATTTAGCTCAGCGGCATAAGCGCCTGCCTTGCAAGCAGGCAGTCCTGAGTTCGATCCCCGGTACCGATTAAAAAAAAAAGGAAAAAGACAAAAAAAAAAAAAAAAAAGATAAAAGAAGTGTAATAGCAACTCCTGCCTCAGCCTCCCACAGTGCTGGCATTACAGGGGTATGTACGATGGAAAACAAATAAAAAACCAGGGCTGAGGGTTTAGCTCAGTGCTAGAGCACTTGCCTAGCATGGGCAAAGATTTGTGTTTAATTCTCAGTTGTATGAAATCAGAGCCAAAACCCCAGGAAGTCTATACTCCTTTGAAAGGCAAAGCTACCTCTTAGGTTACATGTAAACTAAAGTGCACACCAGGGGCAGTAACAAGCCCCTCCTGGGAACCAAGAGCATCAAGCTGACAAAGGTGTGACAAATGTGTGTGGGATGGTGGGGATAAACTGGCTTAGGGCAAACTGTTTAGGAAGAAATTTCTTTTTCTTTTCTTTTTTTTTTTTTTTTTTTTTTGCTAGGAGGAAATTTCATTTAATAATAACTGATTTTTTTGAGACAGGGTCTTGCTATTGTTTAGATTTTTTTTTTAACTTTTTTTTTTTGGTCTTTTTCCTTTTTATCAGTACCTGGGATCGAACTCACGACTGCCTGCTTGCAAGGCAGGCGCTTATGCCGCTGAGCTAAATCCCCAGCCCTTTTTGTTTGTTTTTTGAGAGAGGGTCTCAACTGTGTAGCCCATGCTGGCCTTGAACTCACTCTAGATATAGCCCAGAGTGCCCTTGAACTCAAAGTGATCTTCTCTCCCCAGCCTCCAATATTGAGATTACAGATGTGCACCCCCATGAACATTTAGGGGCTTTTTATTATTGTCCAGGCCGTTCTCATACTCGTGGTGATCCTGTTGCATCAGACTCCTTGATGCTGGGACTACAGGCATGCATCACTGCTCCAGGTCTGATCATAAGGTAAGAGTACTTCGTCTTTCACCTGGAAAACCTCATCGACTTGCCTGTTTGTAGGGAGACCGGGGTGCTAGGCGGCAAAGAGTCAGGAGATCCACCTGAGGGCCAGGCGCACACAGCTCGTCGCGGGGTTTAAGCCCAGTCACTGTGCAAATTACCGACATCAAGTTTACAAAAGTGTCAGCTCCCTCACCGACTACAGTGTTGCTCTGGGGCCAGGCCTAGTTTCGCTCGGTGAAAAGGCTAAGAGAGGGAGACTGGGGACTGAGAAAGTGAAAGCCAGCGGCCGCAGGTGGGGCAGGCGACGGGCGCGCGCAGGGGGCTGCGGGCCGGCAGCGAAGGTCGGGGGTCGAGCAGCCCTCACGACCCCCCCTCCCCCCGGGGCAGGCGCTCCGGGAGCGGCGCGTGTGCTCGCGGGCGGGGCGCCCGGCAGCCGGCGGCGGCCAATCGGGGCGGGCGTCCGGGGAGGGGCGGGGCTTTCCGGCTCTGGCTCCGCGAGTCCTCCTTTTTGCACACACACGAATACAAAGAGCCATACGACCTTCGGGTATCCTTTTTCCATTTTTACCCCCCTCCTTAATCTTGTGTGTGTTTTCAAATTTTTTAAAAGTAGAGATCTGTAGCAGTATTGGGGTGAGGAAACTGTTGCTAAGGGGAATTTTCTCTTTTCCCCATTTCTTTTCCTGTCTTTCTTCCTCTTTCTTTTTCCTGATCAAGGTTTTAAATATACCAAGAAGTTGAGAAGCGGGATGGCCGTGTACAACTGTTTCCAGCCAAATTTATAGTTTTTTTTTTTTTCCTTTTTCGTTTTTCCTATCACATTTTAAGAACTGGTACATTTTTGTGGTTTGAGGGGTTTAAAATTTTAGCCGCTTGGGAAGTACAGATTTCTTTTTTTAAAAAAAGGGCTGAAGGGGTAATGTAAATTCCTGCCATGGGCAACATCACAGGAAACAGATTAGAGGCTCCTTCAAAAGCCCTTTGGCGTGCATTTTACACACCCTTCCCCAGAACCCAAACCAAGTGGCTTATAGATTTAAAATATTGGGATAATTGGGACACTTTTTCCCCAGGGAAGAGGACAGTGTGTCTTGCACACACATTTTCATGACATTTCTGTGTGTGTGTGTGTGTGTGTGTGTGTGTGTATGTGTACTATTTCTTAGAGCAAATGTTTTCATAAAATATTTATCTTGGGGTTTATTTTTTGTGTATTATATGTACAATATGTGTATATGTGGCATATCAGATTTTATTTTTAAAAGTGATTGCCGTTGGTTTTATGTGTGCAAAATAGACCTTAGAATGTGAAGTTTTTCTGTTATGCTCCCAAATGTGGTCGAAACAGAATTTCATGTGCAAAGTAAAGCTAAAAGGAAATCCTAAATTTAAGCTTACCTTCATTCTAATTGCATTTACAGTGTTTTTCTCCTCTTTTAAAGGATCAGATTAGTGAATAATTAAATAATTGTCATAGAGTGTATATGTTGCAAATGAGGATAGGCAATTTATTGAATCTATGGTTCCAAGCCACCCTCAGTGATTGTTTTGCCTAAGTGGTTTTGCTTTTTATTGTCTTACGTTTTTAAATGTACAGCTGTGTATATTTTGGCCTTTATGTGTGGTTTGGTTGATGTGGTCCGAAGGGAAGTTCTCTTGGCTTTTTGACAAAATGGTCGTTTATTGGTTGGGATTTGTTTAAAAAGCTCCACAGCTGGTAAAGTATCAGGAAAAATTCTGTCAAGTCCATTCTTAAAAACTGTGCACAGTGGTGTTTATGCCTCCAAGCAGAGGCAAAGGCAAATAACAGGGATAAAAAATGCATTTTGTTGTCATGTTGCATTTTTGGAATGAAGAATCCTCCCTTGGTCTAAGTCTGGGTGGAAAGTGAATTAGAGGACAACAGGCTCAAAGCAGAGCCTCCTGCTGTAGAAAGAAGGCCCACTGTCACTTCCTGCGTTTAGAGGACCAGTGTCATACAGATAATATCCGTATTCAGATCTGTATTTGCAGATTGGAATGAAAGCACAGAAGTATATGGGGTGATAAGGGAGAAACTGGAGTGTTGCAAGTGTTGTAGCAACTAATTGATTAAGAAAGGATCTACTATAGGATTTAAACGTAATTACAAAACCTCTGTATGATAATCATATATTCCCACCCCTCAGCTGTGACCTACTCCATTTCATGTATTTAAGACACCTAAGTAACAACTGCAATAAAATCGTGAACAAGGTATTGAATTCATTATAAGGAAAATGAACCTGTGTGGGCTCTCTGGGTTTCTAACTTGTACTAAATATACTTTTACCTCCTAACAACTGGAGTCAGATCAGCGCTTAATAAATACTGGCTCAAAAGTGGATCATTTCACAAGTTTAGGCCTGTATTGCTTTCTAAACCTACTCAGTCTATTGACTTTTGTTACCTCAGCAGTGAGGGGCATTTTTATGGCGTTTTGCTTTAATTCTCTGCTTTTAGTACAGGTTACCACGTACACTTAGTTATTCAGGAACAGTACACAGCTCCACTTTCTAGGCTACTCAATTTACACATCTTGGGACCAGGGCTCATATTCGACGTCCTCGCTTTCAATTTCTTTGTAAGAAAGCAAATCCCTCTTGCATTGGCTTGGCTTTCTTAGCAAAGAAAAGCAAGTCTAGGTTGGCGATTTAGCTCAGTGGCATAAAGTGCCTTCCTGGCAAGCACAAGGTCTTGAGTTCGATTCCCAGTACAAAAAAAAGAGAGAGAAAGAGAAAAAAGAAAAGCAAATCTGAGCCCAGTAATTTTTTTTTTTTTTTTTCCTTCTGGGAATCCGAGGGTCCCTTAGAGATGAAAACTGTGAACTAAGTGGAACTGCTTTTGCAAGTTACCTGAAACCAAGGGCTGCAGGAACTAAAAATCAGCCACCACCAGACTGTATGAAACCAATCTGAGGTCACTGAATTTATAGTCGTGTACACGTAGCTTTGTGAACAACAGAAGCAAGTAAACAAAAAAAAAACCCCAAAGATGGCGTCTAACGGCCTTGAAAAAGCGCCTCAATCGTGTCCCTCCCTGAGGCGGCCTCTCCCCTCTCTATCTCGTTGAGTGACTGATCATATTCTCCAATAGCAACCTTGCTCCTGCACGCCCCCATCGCTCAAGCGCCAATCATCGAGAGCCAGAAGGCAAGTGGGGCGGTGCTTCCTCGCGTGCGCGCCCTGGCTGAGTACACGAGCCGGCGCAGTTGACTTTGCCGCCGCCAGACCCTTGTAGGGTGAGCGGGAGCTGTGGAGCAGAGCACACGTGGTAGAGCACCCGTAGGGCTAACTGGAGTGGGATTCTGCGTGGGTTTCCGCGGCGATCATCTGCCCCCGCCTCGCCCTCGCCCTCGGCTGTCGCGGCTACATAATGTACCCACACTGACCCAGCAAGATCCCCGACCGCGCTTCGGCCATTGGGCCTTCTGCTGCCGGCGCGGATCGTCCCTTTCCCCGGGGTCCCGGGCGCGCCACGGGGTTCCTGGTCCCTGTTCCTGGCGGCTGCGCTTGGCGTCGCTGGCTCTCTGCTTGTAGCCGAGTCACACCGTCTGTCGGGAATGATTGTGCTGTCCCTGGTGCCCACCTTGTCGTCTTTGACTAATTATTAACATTTTCCGAGGACTTGATGGGCGCATGACAGAGTTCTGGGCGGTAACTTGCCCTTTCTCAGTTTCTCCAGAAATACAGTAAGAGTACTTTTCTCTCCGGCACGTTTGTATGAAAATTTGAGCGGAAATTCTGGTTTTACCAAGTTGCACTTTAGCAAATGTAAATAAAGGAGGATTGTGCTTGCCCGGGGTAAAAAACTCATGTCCTGCTCCACAACTAAACTTGTATCTTGGGGATTACAAGAAATCTTATTGTTTAAAAACCCTTCAGCCCTCGGTCTGCAATTCTGTTTTGTACACCTAATAATGAGGTCTTAACATATTTTCTTTTGCAGATCATTAGATGGGTCAGTCTTTTAAAATGTAGGGAAATTGTATTTTATGATACCTGACTACCTGCGTTTTGTGTGATAGAACCTCATTTTTGACAGAAAAATAGGTTTTGAGAGAACCTTCAAACAGGTGAACTGTTTGGAACCTTGAAGTAGAGGAGCAGAGCTGAGCAGCACAGAAGAGCTTTTATTCTTGAATCTTTAAGTGACCATTTTCCTTTTTTATTTCTTAAAATGAAGATTATGATATGAATTGCCAGACTTTTAAGTAATCTCGTTTAAGAAAGTCCATTTCTAACCTGACCCTGAGTGAGCCAGAGGCCCACTATAAGACCATCTATCATCAGAGGGATACCGTATCACACACATTTATTAAGTAGTGAGAAAACTTATTTTTCATAGTTTGGAGGTGAACTCAGTCAAGCAGAAAATTCAAACCCAGAATGGGGAGAAAGCAAGCAAGAGAACTGCCAAGAGTATGATATATTCAGTCCTAAAAAATATGCGAGACTCAAGAGGAGTGGGACGATAAAGATTATGAACTGTCTCACCCTGAACTGTCTAAAGGAGATGAGTTTTCTTTCTTTTTTATCTAAATATTTATGAAAAAATATCAAAATTATCGAGAAGTACATTTTCTAGGCTCATTTCACATGTATTAAAATTAGACCTTGCTGAAATGAACCCCAAATATATTTTATGCAAATTTCAGTTTAACATCTTGTCAAACTGAAGATCTTTTTTTTAGTACTCGATTAGACAAGTTGTTAGCACTTAAAGTTTATTTTGAATTTGAATTGTCTTTCGTTTGTTTATTTTGTGTTTTTACCTCCAGAAAATCTTCATATAGAAAGATTGTTTTAGAGGCTATATTCTTGCAGTCCCAGGAACTGGCCTCTTACATGCAAGGCAAGTACTCTATCACAGACCCCTCCACCAGATGGAGGTTGATAGCATTTTACAACATGAATGTATATTGTTCTGTAGTGGCCACCTTAGTTTATTGTATTTTTTCCTTTCTTGAACAAAAATACGAACTCTTGGCTTATAAAATAAATTACCAGGGTTGCAGTGTAATTCAGTGGCAGATCCTCCTAAAGCCCTAGGTTTGAGCCTGGGGGAGGGGGGCAATAATGAGCACCTGGGAGGCTCAAGTAGGTGGATCTTTTTTTTTTTTCCTTTTATCCGAGTACCGGGGATTGAACTCACGACTGCCTGCTTGCAAGGCAGAGCTAAATCCCCAGCTCTACAGGTGAACCTTTTAAACCCAAATACTAGAGGCTAGGCAGGGCAACACAATGAGACCTTACATCTAAAAGATTAATAAATGAAATAAGTTACCTAGGAATCTGAAATTTTAAAAGTTGACAGTATTAATATTTAACAATAATGATATAGACATTGCTATGATAGTTTACTGGTGTTAACTCTGCTTTACCAAGCATTCTTTGGATTGATTCTGGATTACTGAATTAAATGGTTACATATTTTGAGGACCAGGGATATAGCTCAGTAGTGCTTATCTAGCATATACAGGGCTCTCGGTTTCATCCCTAGCACAGGCAGGTGTTGGGGGAGGCTATATTTTAAAAATGGAATCAAGTATAGGTATGTCAATAATGTTGGGAGGGTTAAGTGGTCTGTACTAGGAAAAACAAATAATTACATTAGGTGTAGAGTGTTAGAAAAGAATGTAGGGGCTGGGGATTTAGCTCAGCGGCATAAGCGCCTGCCTTGGAAGCAGGCAGTCGTGAGTTCGATCCCTGGTACCGATAAAAACGAAAAAGACAAAAAAAAAATTAAAAAAAAAAAAAAAAAAAAAAAGAATGTAAACTGAGTGATGTGTCCAACACCTGTAATCAGCTGCTTGGGAGCCTGAAGCTGGAAGATGAAAAGTTCAAGACCACCCGTGCAATTTAGCAAGCCCTTGTCCCAAAATAAAACAAGGGCTGGATGCAGCTTAGTGGCAGTCTATGAGAAGCCTTGGGTTCAGTTCCCAGGAGAGAGAGTCTGAGTCAGGGGACAGTGGGTGGGAGAATTTTAACGTGTTTTAACAAAAATAATATAATAATATCCGTAACATCTGTAATACAGTTCCATTAATAATTGAAATTACTAATACTGAGGAAAATCTGTCTCTAAAATAAGAATCTATTTTCCTTTTTTTGTCTTTTTCCTTTTTTTATCGGTACCGAGGATTGAGCTCACGACCACCTACTTGCAAGGCAGGTGTTTATGCCGCTGAGCTAAATCCCCAGCCCCAAGAATTTATTTTCCGAGGCTGGGGATTTAGCTTAGTGGCATAAGCGCCTGCCTTGTAAGCAGGCAGTCATGAGCTCAACCCCTACCGATAAAAAGGAAAAAGACAAAAAAAAAAAAAATCTATTTTCCTCTCTAGTCCGATAAACTTAGTGATGATCACAGTAAAATAAAAATGCAATTCCATAATTTCTGTCTTTTGACCACTTTGCTGTCCTCACCACAATGGTCAGATTCACTCTCTGACAGTGTCTCTACTGTGGTCGCGGTGACACTGTTCTTCCTCCTCAAGCTTCTGTGAGACTTCCTGGGATTGGCTTCAAGTGCTGTGCTCCCTTTGTGTTTCACGGGACGCTTAAGCTTGGAGAGCTCACTCGCTCACTTGATACAACAGTAGTTCTGCTGAATGCTTCAAATCGGCATTCCGACTCTGACCGTCCTCTCATTTTTGTTTTTTAGTCCTACTCAGTTGTTTTTAGGACATTGTGCTGACAGATATTGCCATGAGTGGAAATTTAATGTAGTAAGCAAACATATACCTTTTCTAATATACTGGACCTCTCATCTCAACTGCCTCATTTCTGTTATTTTGTCAGTGATACCATCCTGTATGTCACCTTCAGGCATATATGTATATATTTTTTTCTTTTTCTTCATTTTTTTTTTTTTTTTTTTAACAATACATGGGGTTGAACCCAGGGCCTTCATATTGAGTTACATCCCTAACCTTTTTATCTTTTTTGGGAGTTTGATGGTTTTTGTTTTTGTTTGGTTTTGAGGAGGGCTTTTTTTTTTTTTGGTTATTTGGTTTTGGTTTTGGTTTTTTGAGACAGGGTCTTGCTGTGTAGTTTAGGCTAGGCTGGTCTTGAACTCACTATGTAGCCCAGATCGACCTCAAATTCAGGGTGCTTCTCCTGCCTAGGCATTCTGAGCGCTGAGATTACAGGCATATACCTCCACATCCAGCTTCTTTTTATTTGTGAAACAGGGTCTTATGAAGGCCCTAAGTTGCCTTAGGCTGAGCTCAAACCTGGGATGCTCCTGCCTCAACCTTCTAGATTACTGGAGTTTTTTTGTGTTTCATCACATCAAGCTTTATAATTTTGAAATTGTTGTTATTGACTATCTCTGTACCTCATGTTTATTAACTAAGGAAATATTAGTGTTAAAAAAAAAAGAAATATTAGTGTTTCCTCCAGGATGTCAAAACTTCATCTCTACAACCCCCTTCTCATCAACTCATTCCTAGGTCACTTAAATTATTGGCCTCCTCGTGTTCAACTGTTCCTCTTAAGGTATCTAAGGCAGGGGTTGGCAAATGGCATCCCATAGCCTAATCCAGCCTTCCACCTGTTTCTGTATGGCCCGTCGGCTAGGACACACTTTTACATTTATGTTTTGTGACATTTCAGTGTCTATAAATAAAGTTCATGGAACACAGCCATGTGCAGTTGTTTACATATCATCTGTGAATGCTATGCCACAGTGGCATAGTCCAGTAGTTGTGGCAGAAACCACTGCCCACAAATCCTAGTTTGTTGTCTCTCTGATCTTTCTTAGCGATTTTTGGTCCTGCTCTGAGAGTTCCCCTAACTTGTTTTGGAAGCCCTCTGGCACCTCTCCTTACAAGGTGAGAGAAGCCCTATAAAGCTCTGACCTCTTCACATACTCTGTTAAATCCTATAATGTTATTTTCTCTATAGAATGTCTCACCAGCTCCTATACATTGGTCAAGGTAATTGGAGGTTTTGCTTCTATAAGGACTCATTCTCAGACAGTTTCACTCTGTTAATCTTTCCTTTATTTTGAACTTATTCCTTAGGAGTTCTCAGTGTATACTATATTTTTAGGCACTTGTGTATTTTGCTTTGTTTTTGTTTTTGCTTTTTTCTTCTTCTTTGGTTTTTTGAGATAGAATCTTGCTATGTAGTTCAGGCTGGCCTCAAGCTCACAGCAACCCTCCTGCCGCAGCCTCCCTAATTATATTTCAGTTTTTTTTTTTTCTGACAGGGACTACAGGCATGTGCCACTATGTCTGACTTGCTTAGGTTTTTAGATATTTCAGATTTAACACACCTCATGGTGTGTTTTGTTTTTGCTTTTCCTGTACTGAGGCTGAAGGCAGGAATGCTCTACCACAGAGTTGTATCCCTACCCATTTTTGAGAGAATCCCATCAAGTTGCTCAAGCAGGCCTTGAACTTTTGATCCTCCTGCCTCAGCCTCTTTAGTAGATGAAACTATAGGTGTCTACCACCATGTCTGGCCATCCCACATTCCTTGGACATTTGCATTCTGAAATACATATTTGCATAAAAGGACTTTGTTCTCTTATTATTTAATATGTAGCAACCCATTTTGGTAGATTGTCCTTTTTTTTGGTACCAGGAATCAAACTCATGACCTCACATTTGCCAAGCAGACACTTATGCCATTGAGCTAAATCCCCCACCCCTTTTTTGAGACAAGTTCTCACTGTATAGCTCAGGTTGGCCTCAAAGTTGTGGCACTCTTTTTGCCTCCTGAGTGCTGGACCTATAGGCATGCACTACCACTCCTGGCTGGATCGTTCTTTCTCATGACCTTATATTCAGAGAATATTTAGAAATACCATTTTTTCCCCTTTGCATTTGCTTGTCTTCTCAAGTGGAGATATAGACAGCTAATGAAATTAGTATTTTGTTTTGCTTATAATCATTTATCTAGCATTTAAGTTGTTATGTGCTTAACAAATATAATGTGAAATATTCCTTTATTATTAGCTGACCCCAATTTCTTTCTGTGTTTTAGACTTCAGATAGAACACTATAGCAGGAATTAGGGAAATTAAGTCAGCTTTCAGTGTCCATGGAAACCAAAAGAGTCATTTGAATGCACATATTGGCACACTACACTGTACCAGATTTTTATATACAGGTTAATTTGAGAAAACAACTATTTAATGCCCTTATGTGACACTTTTTAAATGAACATAGGATAGCAATACAAAAGTAGGAAAGAAGAAAAGAATTGAGAAACAAAGTGAACTCACAAGGGGAAAATATATTTAACATTGAAGACCAGCAGCCCAGCATAGTGGTATATGCCTATAATCCTAGCACTTGGGAGGCTGAGGCAGGTGGATTGCTGAGAATTTAAGACTAGTCTGGAATACATAGAGTTTAAGGCCAGCCTTAACTGCATTATAAGATCTTGTCTCTAAAATAAAATAAAATAAAACAAAATAAAGACCAGCAGAGTTAAATATCATCCTTAGTTTAAGGCCAGATCATGATAGTAAGTAAATTAGAAATAGTTTTCTTAATTACTTTTCTAGTTTGCACCTGGCCCTTGCATCATGGAAGGTTTTGTACCTGTAATGCAGTCTTATAAACTTGAATCTATTGTTTCTTAGAAATTCACTGTTAAGGGGGCTGGGGATTTAGCTCAGCGGCATAAGCACCTGCCTTGCAAGCAGGCAGTCGTGAGTTCGATTCCCGGTACCAATAAGAAGGAAAAAGACAAAAAAAAAAAAAAAAAAAAAAAAAAAGAAATTCACTGTTAAGTCAGGTGTGACAGTGCACACCTGTAATCCCAGCATTCAGGAGGCGGAGGTTGAAGGGTCATTGCAAGTTCAAGACCAGCCTGGGCTACAAAGTGAGCTCAAGGCCAGCCTGAGCTGCATAGGGAGACCTTCACAATGCAGTACTACACCTGGCTATATTATTACTACTTTAATTTTTTTCTGACAGAGACTTGTCTTGAACTCACCATTTATTTTTTAATGTTCTGACACACTGTTGCTAAGCTGACCAGCCTAGACTTGGACTTGTTATAATTCTACCTCACCTCTCACCCAAATGCTATTGATTTGCCTCTTTTTAAAAATCTACAGTTTGGTGCTGTTTCAGAAAAATGGCCAAGTCCAGCAGGTATGACCATGTATGCCTGTAACCCCAGCACTCAGGAGGCTGAGGCAAGAGGATTGCTGTGAGTTTGAGATCAATCTGTGCTACATAGTAAGATCTTTGTCTCAAGAAAGAAAGGAAGGAAGGAAGAAAGAAAGAAAGAAAGAAAGAAAAATGACCCAAGAAATGTCATTTGACAGGAGTATAAGGTCTAACGGTAGGCATAACACTGCTAGAGGTGAAGGCCTCCCAGGAAGGAGTTAAGGGTGCAAGACAAGAGAACTATGCATAGTAGCTGTCACTTTGGTACCATAAATGGGTTGGACAACCCACCAAGTGTCTCAAACTGATGGATCTTAATTACTGACTTTTTTTTTGTACCAGGGATCGAACTCATGACCTCGCACTTGCCAGGCGCGTAGGCTGCTGAGCTAACCCCCCAGCCTTAATTACCAACTTTGTAAATGCTGAACACATCTGGCAAGTGTTCAGGGCCAGGGGACAAACTTGGTGGAATATATGCAAGGCCCTGGGTTCGTCCCCAACACTACAAAACAAAACCAGCCAAAAACCCAATTAACAGCTAGCCAGTGTATACATACTGTCATCTTCTATCAGCAGTGTAAGGCTCTTTTTCTCACAGTATCCATGTTTAATACTAATTTTTTTTCGTTTAAAGAGACATGAGAAGGGCCAACAATGAGCTGTAGCTACAGGACACTCAAGAGTGGAGTGAGAAATGAGGCACAATACAGTTAGAAATGGGATCGTTTATGTATTTGGGGGGGGGTCTGTGGAATTAAGATTAAATTCTTTCTGTAACATTAGAGTAAAAACAAAAGCAGGAAGTAAATCTGCCAGAGGAGTGTAGGCCCTAATGGAGGAAGGAAAAGAATACATTACATAAATGATTCATCCATAAATTGACACAGAATTGCTTAGTGCTTTCCTTTAACCTTTAGTTTTAATTTGGTTTAACCTTTAGTTTCAGGTTTAGCTATGCCTTCCAGTGACTCAGATGACAGGAAAGCTGTAAATGGATGTGAGTTAAATTCTTGCAAGGAGTGAATATCTGCTGTAGAAAAGCTGTTTCTTCAATGTGAAGGGTGAAAAGAGCAAATTAAAAACTATTTTAAAAGACATCATCAAATTTACGTGTTGGTATCTCAGAGGCATTGGTATTGCCTATTTTGGAAGTGAGATCCCTGATTTTAAAAAAAGTATATATATGTGTGTGTGTGTGTGTGTGTGTGTGTGTGTGTGTAATTTCCCTAACCTGCTTTTAATTTTGATGTTATGATATAATTTACAGAATAAAATTGAAATTGATTTCAGGGATTTATAAACACACTTAAGGTTTTGTCACTTATGAGGCTTTAAGCAAGAAGGATTCTTTTTTCTATAATTAAGGATTGTGTAGAAAATGACAATATTTAAGTCCCTTGGGGTGTTCTCAGTGTTACATATCAAAACCCCCACCGCAATCCCTTTTTTTCTCCTGGAGTAGTTTAGTTGCTTAACCACAATAAATCCAAAGAAAGGTGGTCTGTTCGTCACTGGCCATTCTGGTTTCTCCTTGAATAGAGGCCTGTGAGCAAACAGGCAGCATTTGCTACTTCAGTATTCCTGTGGAGCCTCAGCTCTTCTCTTTGCAGAGGATGCCTGGAGATGAGGGCCTGAGAAGGGATCTCCATGCTCTGCTAGCTGATGGACACATGATAGCTGGAGCTGGTGGTCCATGTATAAAATTCTTTTTCCTTTTTTTTTTTTTTGAGGCAAGATATGTGTAGTTCAGGCTGGCCCTGAGTTCACTATGTAGCCCAGGCTGGCCTCAACTTACACTGGTCCTCCTGCCTCAACCTCCCAGGTGCTGGGATAACAGGTGTGTGCCATTACGCCCAGTCCACATGTACAATTCTAAAAGCAGGGTTATTACAGTGCTATGGGTCACCCCAGCCCAAATCCCTGATCCAGCTTTTCTTTCCCTAGTCTCATCTCTAAAGCAGTGAGAGGATGGTGACATGTTGAGGGCGGCAGTGATGATACATTCCTTATTTAGGAATTTTACTCTGAATGCATGTGTATGAAAATTATAGAGAGGATACAATAATGATGCTTTATGTCAACCAAAAGTGGTATCTATTTTAAAAAATACAACTCTAGATTGAAAGTAACAGTAATGAGATTCTGCTGTCTTCCTCTGACCTTGAAAAAGATGTAACTTCTCTGCATGTATCTTCTCTTGATCTTGGGTGCTATGTGTTTCCTAGTGATGTGTAGATGGGATAACCTACGTATGTGAAGTGTTCTAAATGCCTTAAAGCATTAAAATGCAATGTTGTCATTATGGTAAAGGAGGAGGAAAAGACAGATCTTCATTTTTTCCCTCAATTTTCTCATCTTTCCAGGTGCCAGTGGGGCCTTTTGAGTGCCCTTGATTCCTTAGGATGCAGCAGTGTGGAGCTCCGCGTGTGGGTGCAGGAAGAGTGCCTTCTACCCTTTGAAGCTACCCTCCTCAGAAGTCCCCTTGCAGTAGGGGGCGAGCGGACACCCAGGGTGTGGTGCTGGAGGCGTGCAGGGTCTGCTGGTAGAAGGTGGCATCTCTCACGTCCGCAGGGTGAGGCGAGGTAGCCATGGACAGTGCACCCCTGCAGCCTACTCTTCCTTCCCGGAACCCCCGGCCCAGAGCCCAGCTCCTCTAACCTTGCTCGATGGAAAAGCAAAGTGACTCCCAAGAGGCCAGTGCTTTAGTCTCCTGAAATCTGATCTGAGGACCTTTTGGAGCTGTCCAGGAAGTGAGCAAGGTGGCCATTGAGCTCATCAGCCATGTCCTTCAGCGCCACCATCCTCTTCTCCCCTCCCAGCGGCAGTGAGGCCAGATGCTGCTGCTGTGCTTGTAAGAGCGAAACTAGTGGGGGTAGTACGGGCTCTCAGGGCAGGAATCCTCCTCCCAGCACCCCCATCACTGTGACTGGACACGGCCTGGCTGTTCAGAGCTCTGAGCAGCTCCTGCATGTTATCTACCAGCGTGTGGATAAGGCAGTGGGCCTGGCTGAGGCCGCTCTGGGTCTGGCCCGAGCCAACAATGAGCTGTTGAAGCGTCTCCAGGAGGAAGTAGGTGAACTGAGGCAAGGGAAGGTGTGCACTCCTGATGAAGATGGGGAGAGTCGGGCCCATACTCCCCCACCCGAGGAGCCCGGGCCCCTCAAGGAAAGTCCTGGCGACGCCTGCAAGGCTCTGTCTGCCGTGGAGGAGGAGTGTGACAGCGTGGGCAGCAGCGTGCAGGTGGTGATTGAGGAGCTGCTGGGGGCAGCCTCAGCGGTTGGGCCCGGGCCTCTGGGCTTCCCTGCTCCTCAGAGAGACCTGCGGCTCCCCGGGTGCCCTCTGGCCGCTGGCGAGGGCCCCCCACTGCTGCATCCCGTGAGTACCACCGCAGTGCAGCTGCTCCTGCCTGTCTCGCTCTTTTCTCTCCTTAGCCTACTTTCATCCCATATGGAAGCCTTTCTTTTATTTGCGATAAAACAGCACAACAGCAAATTTCGTCTGCCTTCGGGGACCTCGGCACTCCCAGGTGCTTCCTGACCACCAGGTGGCTGGGGAGGGCGTGGCTCTGGCAGGCCTCCCTCGCAGTCGCTCAGCGTGGCACCTTCTCCTTACAGCTGCAGCAAGGCTGGCCTCTCCTGGCGGGAATGCCTGCCGTGCACAGACGGCTCATTCATATTTTATCACGGGCCCTCTGCCTGCCAAGAAGAGTTGGGTATGGTGAGATGGGGCTGGAGAGGGGTAGGGGCAGAGAGAAGGGAAGTCAGGGGTGAGGGGAAGAGAGCAGAAATGCGGGGTCTGAGGAAAAAAGATAAAAAGCAAAGAAGAAAAGTGAGTCTGTGTGGAAAGAGGAGAATTTACATGAGAGACAGACAGTAAGGTGGGGGGGGGATAGCAAAAGAAACGATCCCCTGAAAGTGGATAAATAATAAGAGGATGGCCTGGAGGGGATACGGCGAAAGGAAGGAGTGGGCAAACATATCCACTGAGCAGGAAAGACATGGTGCTGTTTCGGTTTCTTTACTGCTCAAGGGCCATGTGAGCAGGAAAATCCTGGCTGAGCAGAGTAAGAACTGCAGATATCACACATGAAAGCATGAAAAAGAAATGGAGCAACTATAGAGATCATAGAGATGAAAATGACAGATGTGTCCCCACTGGGGAGCAGGTGGGAGGTCTGTCAGCTCGCCACCTCATCCTCTGCTGCCCTTCACCTCCTCTCCCTCGGACAAGGCTTCCACTCAGGAAGGAGTACAGAGCAGAACACACGAGGCAGATGAGAGAGGATGTCCATTCCACCTGCTGAGGCTGAGCAGGGAATGGAGGATCTCCCCTCCCCTCCAGCCCAAGCGGCCACTGGTCATTGCTCTCCCAACGCCACAGCTGGGTGGCAGTTGCCACTACTGCTCGTCCCCATGGTGGGTGCCTGGTCAGCACGCTCAGTGGTCTGGGCTGGAAGGCAGGAGTCAGGAGGTACCAGGCCAGGCAGTGCTCTGAGCTGTGGGTTTGCTCAGGCAGGGAAGGCTTCCAAGCCGGCAGGATGGAATTAGATTTCACTGCGCAGAAAGCAGCTCACAGGTCTATAAATCTCAGCTTCCTCCCCCGCTTTCTGTGTGTGGTTCCCCCCTACTTTCAGTTTTGTTTTTTTGGCTGCAGAAATCCCCCCTCCTCTTGTTCTCCCTCCCTGCCTCACTCCCTCCTTCCTTCCTCGCCCTGTGTGTCCTTGAATGAGGGTACAGGCAATCAGCTGGATGTCAGGGCCGTGACAGCCTGAGGTGGCCAGGCCAGCCAGGATCAAAGCAGGGATACAGATTGCCCCATAAAGGGAAGGAAGGGTAAGTGAGGGGAGTGCACCTGTGCCAGCCTCACTAGGAATTCCTGACTTCGTGTCTCCCTGCTTTCCTCTCATTTTCCTTTTATTTCCCCTCTTTATTGTTGCTGTTTAATTTTCTTGCTCCTTTCTTGCTTGGTTTCCCTTTTTGTCATCACTTCCTTCCCTAATCCCTTTTAGACAAAACATTTACCTTGTTACATTTCTTCTATTCAAGAGCAAACCATAAATACCGCTCCCAGAGCATCAGAAACCTGCTGTGTCCTTGGAAGCAGCCCTGTGCTAACAACATGACAGGAGAGACCCTGTACAGTAAACACAAAGACTGTTTGCCCGCAGACCCCATAGGAATCCAGAGCAGTAAGCCATCGAGCATCAAACACTGCTCTGTTCCCCGCTTTTCCACTTTCTGCTATAGTCTTGGCCAAGGAATGGTGACTGACCAGGTTCCCCTGTGCGTAGCTGGCTAATAGTCCATTTGTTTTTCTATTCTTAGCTGGTGGATGATTATGTGGCCTCTGAGGGTGCAGTGCAGCGAGTGCTAGTCCCTGCTTATGCCAAACAGCTTTCACCAGCCACACAACTGGCTCTCCAGCGGGCGTCCTCAGACGCAGGGCCAGAAAATGGAGCCAAGCTCCCACCACCGCGCCCTGAGGACACGCTCAGTGCTGCTGCTGCTTTGGATGGTGCCTTGGAAGAGTCTGGCCCTGGGAGCACCGGAGACCTGAGACACTCTCTCGGGCTCACTGCTTCCCCCTGCAGGACCCGAGTGAGCGGGCAGAAGAACTCCAGGCGCAAGAGGGATCTGGTTCTCTCTGTGAGTGAGCTGTTTCTACAGTTTTTCCCCTATAGTCTGGAGTGAGAAGTGAAGAGTGAACGGTGGGTGGATTTTAATCCTCCCATGTAGAACGAATGGTGTCCCAGATCCTATTGGAGTGGAAGGAACACGGAGGGAACCTTCTTGAGATCTTGGACAGGTAGTACATTTTGTACCATCAAACCTTTAGGCTTTTCTAGACAAAGTGATATCTTCCCTTTCATGACATGGGAACTATGTCATGTCTCCCATAGTCATGATGGGAAAATCTTTCAGGGACTGAGCATATAATCACCAGTGTGTTGGGTAAGTGGCAAGGGGTCCCTTAGGTGGAAAAGTCAGGCTGTGCTATGGTAGCCCCATACCACAAAGCTGCAGGAGGCCTCTATACACCTGCTCAATTACAGAGATTCGGAGAATGCAGTCATTCCAAGAGCTCTTGGCAGGGAAGGGATTGGCTTGAATTAGGTCTGCTTGAAACTTCTGGAGTGGCTGGGAACATTCCGCTGCATCGGGAGCTCCTAGTCATCTCCCAGGGAAGTAGGGACATGTGGCACTTTTGTCCCCAGGGAACACCTGGAACCACTGGAGATATTTCCATGTGTGGGCTGATAGGGGGAGGACAGAATACTACTGACATCTAGTGGGAAGAGGCCAGGTATTCTGCTGAGCATCCTACAAGGCCTTCCAGCACCCATAGGTACCAGCTGATGTGTCAGTAGTGCACAGTGCACAGTTGGAAAATCTTCTTCAAGGGTGTCCATGGTCTTTTGGATTAATTCTACACCCCAAATTTTCTAATAACCATAGAGATGTTCTTTAGCCATATGTCTGTTGACTGTCGTGTTTCCAGTCTCTACCTAATGACTGGTTTGAAGTATCTGGAGAGTCCTGGTTGGGAGTAGATGTCATCACTCATAGCCAACCTAACTTCTGTCCTACTATGTAGCCCACTTGTTTTGAGTAAGATTGAAAGTCTCATCATTTATATATTCTTTATTTGTACAGCTTTTGTCTTTCTGTTTTCCTGATGGCTCTTTTTTTGGTTTGGTTTTTTTGAGACAGAGTGTTTTACACTGGCCTTACACTGTGTAGCCTAGGCAGGCCTCAAACTCATAGTGATCCTCCTGCTTCAGCCTCCTGAGTTCTGGGGTTACAGGCATGTACTACATGGCCGGCTGAGAGATCTTATTCTTGTTCTTCCTTTCTTACAATTTGTTTTTGCATCAGAGATTCTTGTCCAGTACCGCAGCAGCAATGAGCATGTCCTCAGTGCAAGGTGGTGGGAGCTCAGCTCCATTTTCTGGCCCTGTCTCTGAGGATACCCGCTGATGAAGACACCATTCATTATCAGCATCAACTTGTTTTTGATCTTCATTTTGAGTTTTGATTATGTTCAGGGTCATCTTATCAAGAACAGAGGACAGTTTAGCTTCTATCACAGATCTGTTACCCAAGAAGACTATTCCTGTTGCCAGTAAAATAAATTAAAGAATGAGCCTAGAAATGTATTTCAAGGAATTTCCTGAAACTTCATTGTATTTAAATAATAAATAAATATGTGGTAATAATAATTTGTATAAAATCAGGACTTTCATCCTTTTCACTCCACTCCTATCTGTCTCCAGAGCCAGGTATAGTATCAGAATTGGCTTTTTTTTGTTTGTTTGTTTCCTGTTACTGGGGATCGAACTCAAGGCCTTGGGCATGCTAAGCAGGTGCTGCACCACTGAGCCACACTCCCCAGTGCTGAGACTTGGCTTCTTCCTTCCCTCTGGGGAGTTCAGTAGCTCGAGGGACCTTGTGGCAGGACAGCTGCTTGCTCATCATGCTCCCTGTTATCACGCTGGAAAAGTATCGAGAAGGCCAGTTGGAATTTTCTGCCTACCACAGAGCAAGATTTAAAATATTCTTGTAAAAAAAATGTTCTTGTGCTAGACTGTGGATTTGCAGAGGGAGGGTTAGTTGCAGTCTTTACTATTTGAATCTTTAGCTCTGGGAAGGAATCAGAGAGGCATCTCTCATCTCCTGGGGCTCCTGTGGATTTCTGCTAGGATCCTGTGAACCAGAAAGACCAAGCCAGAACCCTTAATTCCTTGGAATGCTGCAGATCCCATCCACCCCTTAAGGAAATGTATGTATTTTTAGCTCACTCAGAAGGTGGATGAGCCAGCAGCCTTTGCAGTCTTAACACTTATTGTCTGGAGTATTTTCCCTTTCCACTTCAAGCCTAGTTTGATTTTTATCACTTCTTCTCTTCTGAACCACTTGCTTAGAAGCTGTATAACTTCCTTTTTTTATGTTGTTGGGAAATGCTCTCAAATTCTTGCTTTTTTTTTTTTTTTTTTTGCCAGTCTTTATGCTTGGACTTGTAACAGAGTAAGCTAACTATATCAAATAGAAAGTCAGTATTATTACAGTCCTTCTTATAGAGTGGAGACTCTAGCTATGAAGAGATAATAGTACTTTCCACAGTGATATGGTCACCCAGCCAAGGAGGCAGGAGGAGAAATTGGGGATTTCTTGATATAGAGCCAAACTCTTAGGTGAGGATATGAATCTGTCAGTCTGTGACTGGGCAACTTCTACCAACTGAAGATCTTGGGATGAAAATATAATCGGAGGGCTGGGGAGATAGTTCGGTGGCATAAACACTTGCCTGGCAAGTGCAAGGAAGGAAGGAAGGAAGGAAGGAAGGAAGGAAGGAAGGAAGGAAGGAAAGAAGAGGAAAAGAAAGAAAATATAATCAGAAACAACAAAATTAAATCTAATTGGAGGAAATATAAAATTCTGCGTTAATGTTCAAAGTACAAGTTGCAGTATGAACTCTGTAATACTATAAGTGGCCATGGGGTTGCTAAAAATTGTAGCACCTCTTGGGCATACTGGTGCATGTGTGCCTATAATCTCAACACACTGGGAAGCTGAGGCAGGAGTATCCTGAGTTTGAATACAACTAGGGTAACTCAACAACTTAGTGAAACCTTGTCTCAATATAAGATATAAAAAGGGCTAGCTAAAAGATTTCAGAAGACCTGGGTTCAATCTCAAGTATTGCATTTAACAAGAAGGAGGAGAGAAATTGCATTATCTTGGATTTTATTCATAGAAGTATAGAGTTCTATTCCTGGCAGTAACACTCCCCCTGCCAGACCTCAGCTAATAAGTTAGATTCAGCTGCAGGTGCCAGTTTACAAGAGAGATATAGGCAAAGCAGAGAGTCTCCTATTTCTGATGATTTTATGAGCAAAATGGGAGTCAGACTTCGGAGCATGTAAGGCAAAACTTTCTAACAGTAAGCTGGGCATGGCGGTACACATCTGTAGTCTCAATGTTTGGGAGGCTGAGGCAGGATGATTGCAAGTGTGAAGCCCGCATGGGCTACATAATTAGACCTCTCTCAAAACCAAAACAAAACAAAACACCCTCAAAATGTTCAATAGAATAACCTGACTCAAAAAGGAGAAGTGTTTGTTAGATATGTATGAGCAAAACTGAAAGACAAAACAGCCTGCTTAATGACCTGAAATGTAGTTGGTGACAGAGTCCTCAGTATGCTTCCCAATTCACATTCCTGCTATTTTAGATTTTTGTTTTCAGACTATGATGTGTGTGCCTCAGGGACTAGTGATTATGTGCCAAAGGATATATAAAGCCATGGCCAAAGCTGGGCATTTTCCTGGGTCATTAATTTTACTAGAAGATTTCAGAAGACATTTTTATATTCAAAGAAATACAGATATAGCCTGGAAAAGATTTTAAAATTTTCAAGAGTACAGAGTTTTAAGAAATGCTCACTCAATGCAGGTGTGCACATCTGTAGTCCTTGCACTCTGAGAGGCTGAGGCTGGGTTGTAGCTCAGTGCTACAGCTCTTGAGTACTGGGCAGAGGTAGGGGTAGAGGGGTGGGGGTGCAGTAGCCCTGGTATATATTTGCTTGGTTCCTGCCACTAAGGGGGTTTTATGGAAATATTTGAGGCCCACTGTTGTAGTGATTACATACATTACTCAGAAGCAGAAGTAGACCAAGTTTGATTCTGGAGTCTTGACCCAAATTAAAGGTTCAAGGGAAAGGAGGAGGGGGCTGGAGATTTAGCTCAGCAGCATAAGCGCCTGCCTTGCAAACAGGCAGTCATGAGTTCGATCCCTGGTACCAATAAAAAGGAAAAAGACAAAAAAAGAAAAAAAAAAGGGTCAAGGGAAAGGAGGAAAACAAAATGCCCCATTGGCTAAACTCTGGCTAAGAAAAAGATGCAAAGATGGGATCTAGGCTGTGGAAAGGACTCAGGCAAAGAACCCCACAGGAACAAAGCTTTTTGAGGCAGAGAGGGCTGGAGATTGAACCCAGGACCTTCACACTGAACTATATCCCAGCCCTGTTTATTGTTTATTTTGAGACAGGGTTTTGCTAAACTGTTAGATTGTCCAGGCTGTGCTGCAGCTTATCAACCTCCTGCCTCAGCCTCCAAGAGTGCTGGGATTACAGGCGTGAGCCAGCACACCTGGCTGGGATAATGCCTTTCCATCTCGGGATCAGAAGAGAGCTTCACTATCTCCACTCCTGGCTTGATTTTGATTTTATTTCTCCCCTCTAGAAATTGGTCCACAATGTGCATAACCACATCACCAATGAGAAGAGATTCAATGGGTCTGAAAGGTACGGTTCCTTGTAAAAAGAGCCCTGAGTATTTGCTGAGGAAAAGGATGTGGGGAAGACGCGCCAGTGCAACCAGGCCAACGCCCGGCTCTCACTGGTGCCGGGGCTATGGGCTCTTAGATGGAGGAGGTTTTGCCACAAAGCTGCCTGGTGCTGGGGATTCTGTCTGGCTCCTAAAGAGCTGACTGCCTTCTCCATTCTGTCCTCTGTGTAGCATCAAGTCCTCTTGGAATATTTCAGTTGTAAAGTTCCTTCTGGAAAAGCTCAAGCAGGAGCTGGTGACCAGTCCCCACAATTACACTGACAAGGAACTGAAAGGTGAGACAGCGGCTCTCACCCCCGTCCATCCTTCTCTGCTCGGCTCCTGTTCCTTGGTTCTCAGTCAGAGAAGGGGCATAACGGGCAAGATGGAAAACGGTGCATTTTAAAAACACTGCAGGTTTTTTGGCTGTGCTTCTCAACTGCGATACATTTATAGGGTTACCTCCAATTGCCCTTTTATTCCTCTGCTCAGTCTGAAATGAAAATGGGAAAAGGGCTAATACACCATGTATTATGTTTATGTGGGGCCTGAATCTGAGGTCAGAGGCCAGGCTTACCTTTTTGTCCCTAAATATTAGGCCCTGGGTTTCTTTTTTTGCTCACTTTTGCTTTTGTTCCTAACCATGAAGTATTATGAAAATTGTGCTAAAGAGTCCTGGAAACAGCTGTTGGGAGAGTGGCAGTAGAGATCAATTTAATGTGGGAAGGGATGCAGAAGCAATGAGGTTTTGCTGTTTTCTTTTCTTTCTTCCCCAGTATAAAGATTGAACTCAGTGACACTCTTACACTGATCTACCTCCTCAGTCCTTTCAAAGGTTTAGTTTAGCCAGTGTGGTGGCACATGCTTATAATTCCAGCGTTCAGGAGCCTGAGACAGGAGGATCACGGGTTCAAGGCCAGTTTGAAAAAAAATTCTTTAAATTGTCCAGTCTGGGCCCAGACTTATATTCCTGCTACCTCAGCCTCCCAAGCAGCTGGGGATTCCAGACCTGTACTGCTGTGACCACCCAGCTAGAGCAGGTGGAGATGCTCAAGGGAATTAGTGCTAGAGGTGGACACAGGGTGCTACCCCAAAAAGGACTAGTGAGATGCCAGTGGTTATGCCAAAAAGGCCCCCTGTCTAGTGATGCCAACCTCCCATTCAGCAGTGTGAAGGCAGAAAAAAGGGCCACTCTGGAGGACCCTACTCCTTTTCTCTCCTCTCCCATCCTCCAGGAGCCTGCGTGGCTTACTTCCTTACCAAGAGGCGTGAGTACCGAAACTCTCTAAATCCCTTTAAAGGTCTGAAAGAAAAAGAAGAAAAGAAACTTCGAAGTCGTCGATACCGGGTAGGTCTCTAGGCCTTTCTCTGAAGATGCTTTTTTTTTTTTTTTTTTTTTGGTGGTGGTGTTGGCAATCTAGCCAAGGCCTCATGCATGTTAGACAAGTGCTTTATCACTAGCAACATCCTCAGCCTTAACTCTAAATTTTAACAAGCCCAGTGGAAAGGGCATCTGAGAATAGGACTGACCACCAGGAACATGGGCAGACGGAGAAGGAGGGTGAGCCGATTCTAACACATGACCGAGGCCTGGGTTTCCCTAGGCACAGGTTTTACTCAGCCTTCTTCTTCCCCACCTAAATCCTTTCTCCAATTGTAACCCAGTTTGTTTTTCTTCCTGCTGTTTATCCTGGGTTCCTTCTTAGCTTTTTGCCAACCGATCCAGTATCATGAGGCATTTCGGACCTGAGGACCAACGCTTGTGGAAAGACGTGACTGAAGAGCTGATGTCGGATGAAGAGGATAGTCTGAATGAGCCAGGGGTCTGGGTGGCCCGTCCTCCCCGTTTTCGGGCCCAGCGCCTCACAGAGCTCTGCTACCACCTGGATGCTAACTCGAAACATGGCACCAAAGCCAACCGTGTGTACGGGCCTCCCTCAGACAGACTGCCTTCTGCTGAAGTCCAGCTTCTGCCACCAGAGCTTTACAATCCTAATTTCCAAGAAGAAGAAGAAGGAGGCAATGAGAATGGACCTGTCTCCCCATCTTTTGACCAGTCCCACAAAACCTGCTGTCCTGACTTGAACTCATTCATTGAAATCAAGGTGGAAAAGGATGAGTGAAATCTATAACCAAGAATAAACTCTGGTTTCCACCACTTCTGTGTCCCAGAAATGGATGGCCACAAGGCTTCTCAAAATAATAAGATGCCCTCTGCAGTCTGACAAAGCAGATTTGCCTCTGTTCTTAATATAGGCTTTGATGGAATAAGAGAACTTCTCTGAAAGTGGGGAAACGCACAGCCAGAAAATGCCTATTCATGAGCATACAGGGCCTTGGGTGGAGGAGCCCGGGATGAGGAAGGGAAAATGGGCTGTCTAAGACGCATGAGGCCTTCCTGACACAAGTCCAGGTCACTGAGTTGGTCCCCTGTGCCCCCATCCCTCACACAAAGCTCATGGGGAAGCAGCCTTGGCTGAAGCTCTTGTTTCCCCCAGACTTGCTGGCCTTTTCTGCCTGCAGTGGAAAGACAGGCAGCCCAGCATCATACTGCCCCCTGGTGGGCAGTTTCATCCCTGGACGTGATTCTGAGCTGTAGATACAATAGCTGTTGTTTATTGAGTCATACAAGGAAGATTTTATCATTCCCATCTTACAGATGAGGAAATTAAAGAATAATGAATTCCCATGTTTCCCTGGCAGCTTTTCTCCTGCTTTGTGGCTGTTTTTCAATCCTTTCAGCCAAGCTGTGTTTTGGGGAAGGTTTATGCATACACATACAGGTGGAGAAGTAAAATGGCTTTATACTCAGTCAATCATGCAACAGATACTAATTGCTTACTAGGAGTGACGTACTATGAGGTTATAGGATCAGATCTGACTGTGTAGTCAGGAAGCCAGACACTTGAGTAAGCAATGAAGTGAACTGTCACAGGGGTGGGGTTGGGGTGGGGGGCATGCGATGGCAGCTGGTCTACTCCTAAAGTCACAGGCAGTGCTGTTTAACCTAATGCCTGAAAAGTGAGGAGGACTTAACCAAGAGAAGGGTGGAAGCCAAGAAAGGGTTTTTAGCAGGTACAGCAGATGCAAAGGTCTAAAAGTGAGAGGGAGTACAAGAGAAGATTTAATTTGTTGCACACTTGTTCCGAGAGGACAAAATGCTGACAGAAGAGGCTGAGAAGTAGAGAGGAGACCTTTAAAAAACACTTTAAAGAGGCTGGGTGTGCTAATCCACACTTGTAATCACAGCCCTTGAAAAGCTGAAGCAGGAGGATTCCCATGAGTTTGGGCCAGCCTGGGCTGCCTCGCAAAACTGTCGCAAAAACAAAACAAAACAAAAACAAAAACAACAACAAAAAAAACCCCAACCACCTTAAAGAATACAGCTGTTTAGAAGTTACCCCAGTTTCAGGAAAAAAAAAAAAATACAGCTATTAGGTCAGGGCAGCGAAAATCATTTAAAATTTTAAACAGAAAACATGAGGTACCAGTTTGTTTGTTTTTTTTGTCTTTTTCTTTTTTATCACCAGTTTTATACATGAGGAGAATCACTTGTACTCAGTGTAACCAAGACCAGTGGAAGTTGCAATAGTGGTTCAGGAGACAAGATGGTAGCCTGACAGCGTATAGTGCCAATGAGACAGAATGGATCTGAAAGATATTTAGGAAGCAGAATTGATTCATAGGACTTGGTGATTTATAGGATATGAGGTTAAGATAAGCTAGTAGGCATGGTGGGACGGGCCTATAATCCCAGCACGTGGGAGGCAGTGGCAGGAGGACCACTGCAAATTTGAGACCAGCCTGTGCTACAAAGTGAGTTCAAGGCCAACCTGCAACCTGAACTGAACTGCGAGTGAGATCCGGTCTTAGACAAAAAAAGGTTAAGGGACGAGAACATAGGGTTGACACTCAGGTCTCTGACTTAAGTTGCTAAGTGGTTACGGTTCCATTTGTTCCAGGAATGCTGGAGAAGCCAGTTGCAGAAGGTGAAAGTGCTAGTAGTCATTGGACAAGTTTTGGGATGTGTGTGTGTGACAACGGGGACTGATTTCAGGGCAGTCTACTACTGAGCTACATGCCTGGCCCTTTTGTTTTTTACTTTTTGTAACACCGGTGATTGAACCCAGAACCTTCATACTGACTTAAATCTTCCCCACCCTGTTTTTTGTTTGTTTTTGCGGTCAGGGTCTCTGTAAGTTGCCCAGGCTGAGCTTGAAGTTGGAATACAACTCTGAGAGTGCTGGCACCACAGGTGTATGCCACCATTTCTGTTTTTTTTTTTTTTTTCCCATTTATTTATTTTCCCTTTTTGTTTAGTTTTTGGTACCAAGAATCAAACTTAGCACCTTGCATTTGCCAAACAGGTGCTGTACCGCTGGGCTACAGCCTTGGCCTATTTATTTATTTATTTATTTATTTATTTGTCTTTTTCCTTTTTATCGGTACCGGTAATCGAACTCACAACTGCCTGCTTCCAAGGCAGGCGCTTATGCCACTGAGCTAAATCTCCAGCCCCTATTTATTTTTAAGAGTAGAATATATTTATTGAGAGAGACAAAAGGGATCCTGAGTGGGTTGCCAAAGACTCGATCTTTTCTAGGGACTTTTGTAGGGTAAAACCTTGAGGTGAGATAGGTCCAAGATAGGGAAAACTGGGAACTCTCCATTTTACTTTTTTTTTTTTTTTTTTTTTTTTTTTTTTTGCTTTTTCGGGTTTTTTGTCAGTACCAGGGGGATCGAACTCAGGACCGCCTGCTTGCAAGGCAGGAGCTTATGCCACTGAGCTAAATCCCTAGCCCCCTGCATTTTACTTTTTGAGAGAGGATTTCACTAAGTTGCCCACCCAGGATGTGCTCCCCCTACCTCAGCCTCCTGACTAGTCCTTTGAGGTGTTTTTTTCTTTTTCTTTTTCTTTTTTTGGTCTTTTTGAGACAGGGTCTCACTATGCAGTTCAGGTTGAACTTTGGCTGGTCTCGAACTCACAACGATCCTCCTGCCTCAGCCTCCCGAGTGCTGGGATTACAGGCATGAGCCACCACGCCCGGCTCCTTTGAGTTTTTTAGTCTAAGAAAGTCTGGGCTAGAGATATGACTGTCAGTTGAATATGTACATCATAATTAAAGGTTGGGGGCAGGGATATAACTCAGCAGCACACGAGGGATTTAGCTTAGCAGCATAAGTGCCTGCTTTGCAAGTGCAAGGTTGTGAATTCCATCCCTGGTATCAAATTTTTTAAAAAAGACAAAAAATCCCAAAAAATAGCTCAGCGGCACAGTACCTGCCTGGTAAGCGCAAGATCCTGAGTTTGATTCTCAGTACCAAAATAAATAAATAAATAATAATAATTAAAGGCTTGGGGATGAAGAGGGCCTAAAGAGCTCCCAATGACAGCTTCAACTGTGGAGTGGCTACCACAAGGTGATGCACACTATGGAGGATGCCATATCAGGGTACCCCACTTCTTCATCTCAGCTTTCTATCGTTCCCTGAAAAGGCAAGCTGTTTATCCCAGCCGTGTCCAGTGTAGCCACCACCAACTCCGGGGTAGATCTCTCAAATTTTTCCTAGAAAAATCTAGGAAAGGATCTCAAAGGATCAAATGTAAATAAATGGATGAAAAATCTCTGTTCTTTCCTGTCTGGAGTCAGGAAAGGAGGGAGACCCTCAACGTTAATTCTGAGGATGTGGCTCGCAATGGGTTCTAGTTGTAACCTGATAGCCCCTCTCTGTGACGGGTGCTTTTGGTCCTCTCCCTTCCACCTGATAGGAAACTTCCCGGGAACTGGGAAGAGCTGTCAGCTTGGCCTGGGAAACAGTGATTCTCAGGGAAGATGAGGTCCTAGTAACAATGTATCTTGGCTGAAGGAGCCAAATAACTTGCACCAAATTAATTCCTCCAAAGGTATTTATTTTCCTGTTTTCTAAGCATACACTCATATAAAAGGTGTCCAGTATGAGATGAAAATAGTATGCATAGTTTGGATGTGATTTTCATATTCATTTACTATCTAAATACAAAGGGGAGAGGGGAGGTGTTCACCAGCTCTAAAACTAGACCTACCCCTCTAGTCACCTGAAATATTTGCTAAAAATCTCATTTCTCAACACCAGGGGGTGTCTGTCTAGCCCTCTGTCTTTCCTACCCTAAAGGTAGCGATGAGTCCCAAGACTCTTCTTAGATGTTTTTATCTATCCACACCTGTCCTCCCCAGGTATGCTTCAGTCCCAAACCTTTTCCTCCCTCCTTTTCACTGCTTCTGCAAACACGTATATCTTTCACCTCCCTGATTCACCATCACAGAACTGTGGGTTCAGAAAGTATTGTCTTTTTATTGCAGGTTCTCCGTGTTTCTCAAGTGCTCCAGATTAACTTGTTCTTTCCTTTGTCCTCCCACAATCCCCTTTTCCCCAGCTTTCTCCTTCGCCGTCTTCCTCCTCCCCATGTGGGATTCTTCACTCTTCGGGGCTACCTTTCCCTCCAGGTCACTGAGCTTCTTTACGTATCTGCCTTTCTCCTTTTACCCTGTCTTCCTCTCTATGCTTCTCTCCCTGTCTTGCCGCTCCTGCTCCAGCTTCTTTCCATCTCCCACAGTTCCGACACTAGAAACAAAGTCACGGTGTTTGCACAGAACCAGCCTCTCTAGTCGTCCCGTCTGGGTTCGCGACATTCCACCGTGCCCCTCCGCGCATTCCAACTGCAAACAAAGAGTCCTCCTTCTCCCTCCCCTACATTCTCTCATTCCAGTTCCTGAATATTGGGGTCGCCGCTCCCAAACTGGCCTTTGCCTTCCTCTGGGCTCCAATCTGCAGATCTCCACCCACCACGCACCACAGGTCCAGCGCCCCCCGCGACGCACCGTGGATCCGTGCGCAGACACCCCCAGAGCTGCAGGACGCACTGCGCTCCGCCCTTCCAGGAAAGTAGATCCGGCCAGGCAGACAAAAGTTTGGGAGAGAAGTTCCTTTTGAGCCGAGTGTGAGAAGAGGGGGCGGGGGCCCAGAACGGTCGGGCTGCTCGGAGAGTCGACGCGTGAACAGATAGACCTGCGGCCGGGACAGCCCTTCCAGGCCCGCTTAGCCCCAGATGCCCTGGGGGACGCGGCCCCTCCCGCCGGGGGATGCTGCAGGATTCCCGGCGCCAGGCACCTGGGCCGCCCGCTAAGCCCGAGTGCCTGCCTTGTGCCCTGAGGGAAGCTGAGTCCCGCAGCCGAGGCGCTGCAGGGTGCCGGGCGGGAGGTGGCTGGAGGCCCCAGGACCAAAGGCATGGAGCGGTTAGGGGAGAAAGCCAGTCGCCTGTTGGAGAAGTTAAGACTCTCGGACTCCGGCAGCGCCAAGTTCGGCCGCAGAAAGGGTGAAGCTACCCGGTCTGGATCTGACGGGACCCCCGGGCCGGGCAAGGGGCGCCTGAGTGGGTTGGGGGGACCCAGGAAATCAGGGCCCCGAGGAGCAACCGGGGGTTCAGGGGATGAGCCATTGGAGCCTGCCCGAGAGCAAGGGCCCCTGGACGCGGAGCGGAATCCGCGCGGCTCCTTTGAGGCGCAGCGCTACGAAGGCACCTTTCCGGGGGGACAGCCGCCCACCCGGGCCTTGCCTCTACCTCAGTCACTACCCCCTGATTTCCGGCTGGAGACCACAGCCCCAGCCCTAAGCCCCCGCTCCAGCTTCGCCAGTAGCTCAGCCAGCGACGCGAGCAAGCCGTCCAGCCCACGGGGCAGCCTGCTGCTGGACGGCGCGGGGGCCGGAGCCGGAGGAAGCCGGCCCTGCAGCAACCGCACCAGCGGCATCAGCATGGGCTACGACCAGCGCCACGGGAGCCCCTTGCCCGCGGGACCATGCCTGTTTGGGCCACCCCTGGCCGGAGCCCCGGGGGGCTATTCCCCTGGAGGGGTTCCGTCCGCCTACCCGGAGCTCCACGCCGCCCTGGACCGACTGTGCGCTCACCGGCCAGCCGGGTTCGGCTGCCAGGAAAGCCGCCACTCGTATCCCCCGGCCCTGGGCAGCCCCGGGGCTCTAGTCGGGGCCGGAGGGGCAGCAGCGGGGCCCTTGGAGAGGCGTGGAGCGCAACCCGGACGACACTCGGTGACTGGCTATGGGGACTGCGCGGCCGGCGCCCGATACCAGGATGAGCTCTCCTCTTTGCTGCGCCTGACGGCGGGCGCCGGGGGCCGAGAGGTTGGCACCCGCCGGGAACCTTCGGGGATTGAGCCTTCGGGTCTTGAGGAGCTACCAAGTACATTCGTTCCAGAGGCGGCCCGAGCCCGGATGCGGGAGCCGGAAGCCCGAGAGGACTACTTCGGTGAGACAGAGGTGGCTAGGATGCGGGGGAGGGAGGCACCTTGGACTCCCCAGTGCCCGACGGCCCGAATTGCTGGTGTCCGGGGGTTGGTGATGGAGACGGTGGGTTAGAGAAGAGGCTAGAGAGATAGATGGGCAGATCCCAGAGCGCTTTTCTTTCCCTACCGGGTTTCAAATGGACCAGGACTTCTCATCCTTGATAAATTTGACCCCGTCGATTATCTCATGAGTCCCAGTTTCAAATATTAGAGAGCCTCAGTTTTAGCAATAGGAGGCCTTGTGGGGAGGGGACCCGGGTAGGGAGAGCACCCCCTTCCCTTGCTCCCCGAACCCCTAGCCCCCCTCCCCCGTCACCAATGTGCCCCTACAGGCTCTGGCGCGCGGCGCCCCCACCCGGGCCAGGCTCCGCCCGCAGGAATTCGGGGAATGCGCGGGGCGGGCGGGCCGCGTGCGTGCCGACTCCTGCCCCGGCGCTCCAGGTGCCCGCGGGCGGGGCCCGCCGAAGGGTGGGGTGCGCGCGCCCGGAATGGGGCGCTTCCTAGCGCGCGCGGAACAATGTTGGCTGTCGGGGAAGTGGACCTTAGGAGGAAGGATGGAGCGCCCGGGAACGGAAACCAGGAACTCAAGTATTACCCAGCCCCAGTCCCTCTGGCGAGGTTCACCGTGGGCATTTAAGCAGAGACCCTGTGGTACCAGCCTCTGTTTTGCCAGTCCTCTGCAAGTCAGACACCATCCCTAGATGGAACTCGACCCTCCCTGACCACCAGACATAATTTGGTCTCGAATTCTGGCCATCACATACTCAAAATTCAGGCCAGCAGTAGCTCCTTCCTTTCTGCTGCTGTTAAGGAAACCTGGATGCAGCTTCCCTTCCTCGCTGTGTTCAAGGATACATCGATTATATGCCTCAACTAAGGAGGCCATCGGGGATTGGAACAATCCTTTAGTCGAAATTCGCAGGCACTACTTCCTAGGTAAAGCAGTGCAAATCTGGGTGTAAAGAGGAGCGCTCCAGCCTGCCCACCCCTGCCAGGACGTGAGGGTTTCAGTTTTCCAGACCTTTCCTCCCTCCTCCCCACCTTTCCAAGCCATTATCCCTGCCTGGGACCCAGGGTTATTGGAGTCCGGCTAGAGATGTGAACAAGGAGAGGATGGCAGCCTGACTAGGACTGACTGGGGAGGAAGTTATGAGGTAGCTGGTGGGAAGGGGCTGCCTAATTTACCCCCCACCTCCTGCCCATTCTTTTCTCCCACTCCAGAGAGGAAAGCCTGGATGAGATGATGCTAAATCACTTTGATCAAGGGAGACTAAGTGACAGGGCCCATTTAGCAGTTTCCTTTGGAGGCCCTGGAGAGGTAGCTGGGAAAGAAGTCTCTTTAGCCAAACCATCTGAGCCAAAAAAGAAGAAAGGAACACAGAGAAAGTGCAGTAACATGGCAGGAAGAACCTAGGTGTGGGCAAGCTGGGTGAGAGGAGGTGAGGCAAACACGCCCCAGCAGTTTCCCCTGCAGTCTGCCCGTAATGTCCCAGGCTTCTCCAGGAACGACTCTGATGCGACTCTCTGGCAGGCACTCTTGGGCAAGTGTCCTCTTCCATGAGGAGGCTACATTGTGAATTCAGAAGTGGAGGCCTCCTCTCCTTAGGGGTCACGGAACCGCTGTAGAACCCTGTGCCCCAGGCCGGCTCCACTGTCCTCTCCACCCCAGGAGGGGCCCTGTTCCTTGGCTTCAGCCTTGCCCAGCTGCCAGAGGGTGGGAGCAGGGCAGGCCTGGGCCCATCAGTGGCTGCAGCTGCTGCACAGGCTCCCAAGCCCCTGGGCAGAGCCTGGGATGGGCCCAGACAGGCAGGGAGTGTGGCAGTGTGCCGGGAGAGAGGTGGGGCCGGCCCATTGGGATCTGCTCCCCAGAGACAGGCCTTAACCCTCACTCATGGTCCTGGAATTGGGGAGTGGAGGGGAGGGAGAACACACCCAGGAAAGGCGGGTGCTAGACCCAGGTGCATATCTTAGTGGGGGATGTGTGTGTGTGTGTGTGTGTGTGTGTGTGTGTGTGGTACTGGGCCTAGACACTGAGCTACATTCCCCAGCCCTTCTGTAGTTTTTATTTTGAGACTTTGTGAAGTCATTCAGTTACCTGGGCTGAGCTGAAACTTTTGATCTCCCTGCCTCGGCTTCTCAGAGCACTAGGAATACGGGCATGTATCATCACACCCAGCTAGAGAGATGTTGAAGAGCAACTCAGCCATCTCTCTGCGATGGCTGGCACGTGGTCATTAGGAGTCTGCCACTTTTCTCCACTTCCTGTGCAACCCTGCTCCTTTCCTTGAGCACATTCACTCCTTGCCTGGGGCCCTCTGCTGAGCCAGAGCCTTAAGCCAGAGGCGCTAGTGCACGAGCCTGGGACTGCTGAGACACCTCTTGCAAGCCACAGAGGAGAGAAACCTTGCTGTATCTGGACAGAGCTCATTTTACAGACAGGGAAACTAAAGCCCCCAGTGCTTCCTGGGCTTGGCTTGCTTTCTGTAGGAAGTTAGTTATTTGTTGTTCTTGTTTTGAATCTGCTGCTGAGCCCCTGTGACTGTCGTCTCTGACCATTCATCCCATGCCTGCCTGTTGAATGTTTTCTCAACAGACGCCAAGCACCTAGAGACCAAGAGCCGTATCTTGGACTGTGGTGTGCACAATTGCGGGGTAATTGAGTGAACAGGAATGGATCTGCCCAGCCAAGAGCCTGCTGTATCCCATTTTCCGTTGCCCTCTCCTCTCTGGAGGGAGAGACTGTGTCATTGGGCACATCACCAAAGTGCAGTCAGTGAATCCTGGGATCCTGGAGCCTAGCTGGGGAGTGGGGAGTGAGCTGACCACCTCTTGTTCTCTTCAGGTACCTGTATCAAGTGCAACAAAGGCATCTATGGGCAGAGCAATGCCTGCCAGGCCCTCGACAGCCTCTACCACACCCAGTGCTTTGTCTGCTGCTCCTGCGGTGAGTGCGGCAGCCCCTCCACACCCAGGGGCCTGGAGGACAGCTCGGCGCTCCGTGTCCCCACTAAGCATGTGGGAGCCCCCAATTCCCCAACTCTTCCCTTGCTTCCCCTCTCTACCTGGCTCCCCCAGCCCTTGTTGCTCGTCTCCTGCCTTCCTGCCTTCTTCCCTCTTTCTTCTGCTTCCCTGCTTGCCCAGCCTGGACTCCTGCCTGGCCCTCGGCCTCTCCTTGGTGGGGTTTGGTCTTGGGCAGCTGAGTTGCCTGGGGTGACAATGAAAGGCTGGAATGTGGGAAGGGCGGGGTGTGGGCTGGGGGAATAGGGAGCCATGGGGGGCCAAGAGGGGGGTTTTTCTCTTGGCTGGTCAGAGTTCAGCCACCTCACTGGAGTGCAGGCCACCAGGCTGTGCCAAGCTGATGACATCACGCTCCAGGAATGCCCACTGCTGCTGTTAGCTCGGAGGTCCTGGGGGGGTGTGCCGGGCAGCCTTAACTCCCCCACCCTGCCCTCCCTCACCTCTCTCATTACCCCTTCCCGCTGCTTACCCATTCTGATTCTCCTGCTAAACCTTTAATCTCCTATCTCTGCCTGTCTGACTCCAGCACTCAGCTTTTCTTTCACTCTCCCAGCTTCTCCCTGGTTTTCTTTAGGTTCCTTTGTCTGTCTGTCCTTTTTACAGGGCCTCTTTCCTCCTCTGTATCAGGAGCTCTTAAGTTAGCTTTTCTCAGTCAGTGTGCAGAGGTAGAAGTGGAGATTTGGTTGGGAAGAAGGTAGAAGCTGGGGAAATCACCCGTTCTCCCTTCTCCATCATCCCTGATGAGCAGTCCCTGGGTGTGGGTCAGGTGGAAAATGGTCCTGCCATCCTGCATGTGAAAAACCCTGGGCTACCTCAGACCGTGGATACTCTGGAGCCCTCCCTCCAAGCTTGAACAGCAGCCTGGTATAGCAGGAAAGGGGGTGGCTTTGCCAAAGCATTTTGGGCCCAGCAGCTACTCCAGGGTCCTGGCCTCCATAGAGTCTGTCCCTGGAAGGAGCAGCGTAGCTGTGCTGAGGCAGAGACTATCAGGTTAAAATGTCCCAGAGGGCCAGGTCTGGGACAGTCTTGCACAGCACCTGGGGCTGAGCTCCTTGCCAGCCTCTCTGACAGGTGCTCCCTAGTGGGTACTGGTCTGGGGGACACAAGAGCTCAGGTCACAGAAGCAGAGGAGTGGACTGCAATGATTCCAGGGCAGATTGGAGTTGCATCAGCCAAAACCTTGTTGGAGGAGGGAGGAGACACGACCCTTAGGAGGAGCCACTGAGCCCAGGTTTAAACGTGCTGTGCACCTAGGGGAGCAGTGGCACCAGATGGGGAGAAATCCTGGATCTGGGCTCCCAGACAGGTTTCAGCCCCCTCTCCGCTGCTTCCAGGGCGGACTTTGCGCTGCAAGGCCTTCTACAGTGTCAACGGCGCTGTGTATTGCGAGGAAGATTATCTGGTGAGTGAGGGCCCCGGACCTAGAGCTAGTTTCCACGCTGGAACCCCTGGAGCTCCATCTAGCAGTCCTGGCCTGGTAACCTCCTCCTCCTGTCTCCTCTCTAGTTTTCAGGGTTTCAGGAGGCAGCTGAGAAATGCTGCGTCTGTGGTCACCTGATTTTGGAGAAGGTAAGAAAAGTGCCATCAGCTGAGACTGAAGCTTCAGGCCTGCAGGGTAGAATCCGGGACTAACTGGATATTGAGAGAGGTCAGGGAGGAAACCTATCACCACATGAGTCACATTTTTGCCATTCTTCCCCAGAGCAGCTGTTTACAGTGCTTCCCTCTGCCCGGAGAGGAGTCCATCGCAGGCTTCTGGGACTTCACAGGCATAGCCAGTCCCTCAGCCTGAGCAAGGAATGTGGGGTCCCAGGTCGTCATCCCTTTTCCACTACTGCTAGGCATCAGTTGAAACGGTTTTCTTTTCCATTTAAAGGAATTACTGAAACCAGCCATAGTAGCCCAGACCTATAATCCTATACTTGGGAGACTGAGGCAGGAGGATCTCAAGTTGAAGGTGGTCTGGGATACATAATGAGACACTTTAAAAAAAAAAAAAAAAGTTGGGCATGATGGCACACTTATGAACCCAGAACTCTGGGAAACTGAGGCAGGAGGATCCAAGGTTTAAATCCATTGTAAGCTTAACTTAGTGACTTAGTAAGACCTTATGTCAGGATAAAGAGTGAAAAAGGGCTGCTGGTATAACTTAGTGTAAAGACCCTGGGTTCAGTTCCCAGTACTGAAAGGAAAAAGTTTTTAAAAAAAGAATTAGATTTGGCTGGCAAACTAGCAGGTCATATTTAGATTAAAGGTCTGCAGTGGGACCCAGGTGTTGATTTTCTCCCCCCATGTATTGGGATTGAACCCAGGCCCTTTGCATAAAGGGAAGCTCTCTCCCTCTGAGCTATGTCCCAGCCTTTTTGTGTTTATTTTGAGGCAATGTCTTGCTAAGCTGTCTAGATTGGTCTTGAATTTTCAATTCTCCTGCCTCAGTTTTCTGTGTAGCTAGGGTTATAAGCATGCATCACCATGCCTGGTTGCACCAATGTTTTTTAAAAAGCTTCCTGGTGATTCTAAATTTTGGAGGCAGAATTAAAATCCACTGGCCTCGATGATCTCTAATATGTTTTTGAGTGTTTCTCCCTTTATTTTTAGACACACGGTCCCCTCAAATGACATTTTCTAGGACAGCAGGGTGTTGGATGTGGTTAGTAGAAGACGCAGGAGATACAATGTGTAGCTGGGGAGCTGGGATTGAGGGAGACGAAATCTCTTCCCCGCCTTGCGAGCCAGATCCTGCAGGCGATGGGGAAGTCCTATCACCCGGGCTGCTTCCGATGCATTGTCTGCAACAAGTGCCTGGACGGCGTCCCCTTCACCGTGGACTTCTCCAACCAGGTGTACTGTGTCACTGACTACCACAAGTGAGTCTGGCCCTGGGGCACAGTGTGAGCCTGGGACCTGGGATTCACCACCCTCATCTCATTGCTACCTTCTCTCTCTCAGAAACTACGCCCCCAAGTGTGCGGCCTGTGGCCAGCCCATCTTGCCCTCAGAGGTCAGTGTGTCGGGGTTCTTCTGTGGGGCAGCCAGTGCTGCTGCCTCTGGGGAGGGGTGGAGACTTGTGGCCTGGTGTCCCTGGGGAAGTGGTGGTGCTCAGGAATGTACTCTTGGAAGATTCCCGTGTGACCGTGCTCTTGGGGCCACCACCCTGACCCCCACATCCGGGCCTGGACGTGTGTGATAGCCTCACTGGGCCCAGGCTCCATATCTGCTGTCCCAGCAAGGGCTGGAAAAGGAGGAAGAATGCTCAAGGCTGGCAGATAGGTCAGCGTGTAGAGGGCGAGCGCAGGTAGAGAGGAACTGGATCCCACTGGACCAACCTGGCCTCGCTTCTTACTCCCTGTCCCTTTCCCTCCCTCTGCTTCCCCACGCCTTGGGAGCACCAGGAAGGTGGGGGATAAGCCACAGTAGGATCTGCAAAGGCACGTTAAAGCAGTGGATGGTTTACTGGATCTTAGAGGGTCTGGAAGCCTTTATGTGATTTTTCTACTGGGTCAGGAGGTGTCCCTGGCAGGGAGGAGGAGTTGGGACATCATGCTTCTCTCATCCCCGTGGGGGTCTGCGTGTTTCAGGGCTGTGAGGACATTGTGAGGGTGATTTCCATGGACCGTGATTACCACTTTGAGTGCTACCACTGTGAGGTGAGTGTCAGGCTCCAGGGCTGTTGGCTGTAATTTGGAATGGCAAGGGAGGAGGGAGGGGCAGAGTCAAGTCCTACAAGTCCCCTTCATCTATGGGAAGTTTAGGGCACAGAAAATCAGCAAGCTACTGACATGGTGGTGCAAACTTGTAAATTGTAATCGCAGCACTTGGGGCTGAGGCAGGAGGATCACAGCGAGTTCAAGGCCAGCCTGAGTTACATAGTGAGACCCATGCTCTGTGCTGTCCTCTAGCCATTCTCTGTGGTCCTAGTTTAGTGCAAACACTCTAAAACTAGGGACTGCTGCCTACCTGCTGGAAATGGGGGTTTGCTCATTATTTCTGTTGCAGCAGCGACACCTGGTGTTCATATGAAGTATTTTCTCATCTAGCCTTTCTTTTTTTTTTTTTTTTTTTTTTTTTTTTTTTTGTCTTTTTTTTTTTTTGTTGTTTTTATCGGTACCAGGGATCGAACTCACGACTGCCTGCTTGCAAGGCAGGCGCTTATGCCGCTGAGCTAAATCCCCAGCCCCCTCATCTAGCCTTTCTACCAGGAAAGACCACCTGCCCTAGCTAGCTATCCTTTCTTCTAGTCAGGTGGAGTGGAGCAAGGCTGACTCCCAAGCGGTCCTCGATGTCCATGGAGCTTGGGCTGAGCTGACCTAGGTGTCTTCTTCCCCAGGACTGCCGAATGCAGCTGAGCGATGAGGAAGGCTGCTGCTGTTTCCCTCTGGACGGGCACCTGCTCTGCCATGGCTGTCACATGCAGCGACTCAGTGCCCGACAGCCTCCTGCCAAATATATCTGAGCTGGAGTCACTGCTGCTGCCGTCCTCAAGGTTGACAAACTCCCATGGCCAGTGGGCCCTTCCAAGGGTACCTGAGGCAAGCAGTTTGCTCTGCAGTGCTGGCCAAAGAGCCCTCTGGGGAGAGCCCCAAAGGCCAGAGACCCAAAGACCCTAACATTCCAAATGGACTGTGGAGGAGGGAGCGGTGTCCAAGTCGGATGACCGGTCCTGGCGTGTGGGCAGTGGGCAGGGTCCAGTACTCTGTGAACAGCAGTTGCTGGCCTGTTTCTAGGGTGTGTGTGTATCCGTGAGGTTCTGTCCCTGATGACAAGAGGAGCGGTTGCCATGAGTACTTCATCCCCTTGTACCCGTATGTGCAGCAGGCCTAGGGCCAGCCGGTATTCCCCAGTGTCCTCTCTGTACCTAGATGAGGAAGTGGAAACCCTAGGCTTTTTTCAGGAGTAATTTCTTGTCCTCTCTAAAGACAGGAAAGCCCCTTATCCCTTTGCTGGGGAAGAGGGCCAGCTCTACGTGGGCCTCAACCCAAACTGCCTGTTTCTCAGGGACTCGCATAGGCCCAGGTACACTGAATGGGGGCCCTGTCCTTGGTTGCTCTTCTTAGCTGGGAAGATGACAAGTGGCCTGTGTGGTTGTGGGCTCGCTGGGTGGTGTGACCAGGAAGCTTCAGGCCAGCTCACTTGCGTGTTTAGGTACATGGAGCCCTGTGCCCAGTGCAGTCTCCGTGGGTGTGCTCGTGTGGTGTACAGGTGTGTGTGGCTGCGCACACCCACACACGGTGTCACCCCCTTCGTCTCAGGTCACTCACACTCGGTTCCCTAGTAGTAGTTTTCCACTCCAGACCAGCTACCTTTCAGTGGAGTTCCAGATTATAACCACTGTAACCCCCAAACTCAGGTTTAGGGGCACTAGGAGGAGTAAGTTCCTTTGCTTCCAGTTGGTTTGACTGAAACTTGAATTCACCTGAGTGTACCTTTCTTAAAAGCAGTTCACTAAAACTTGCTTGCCTAAAGTTCAGTTCACATCATGAGCAATTTGACAAAAGCTAAATTCCCTCTTGGGGTACTTTTATTTATATCCATTTAGGTGTTCTGTTCCTCTCTGTCACACTCCGAGTATTTCAAGGATTTATATCTATTCATTCAGGAGTTACCAGTAACACAAATTTCTCAAATTTGCAGCACTTTGTAAATGTAACATTGCTTCCTACCTTTGTGTATGTCTTTTTTTCTGTTACCTACTTTTCAAACACTTTTTAAAAAGTTTAAAGATTCTAGCAATAAATACAATTGGTACAGACACTTTGCACATAATGTTTTGTGTTTCTTATTCCAGTATCTCTTTACAAATTAGGTGCTTTGGACTGGGTGTGGTGCCACATGCCTGTCACCCAGGCACTCAGAAGGCTGAGGCAGGAGGATTGCCATGAGTTCAAGACTAGCTATATAGTGAGTTGAAGGCCGACCTGAACTACATAGCCAGATCCTGTCTCAAAAAAAAAAAAAAAAAAAAAAAAAATCCGATGTCTTGAAAAATGGAACTCAAGATGACTTACTTTGATGCTCTGGCCTAACTTAATGTGTTGGTGTTATGATGCCAACATATCAGCCATGGTACATGTCTACAGTCTATGCATTCTGGGAGGCTGAAGCAGGAGAATCACAAGTTTAAATCTAGCCTGAGCAATTTCGCAAGACACTGTCTCAAAATAGAACAAAATGTTTTAGAAATGTGGGTTGGGGATATATGTAGCTCGGTGCAAAGGCATATTCAGTCCTCTTCACAAAAAAACACAAATAGGCATGAGGCATATATTCAGTTGATAACAAAGTTTAAATAGATAATAGGTAAAAAGGTGAAAATGCTAAAGTCTTTTTTAAATGACACAGCTGGGTATGGTGCACCCCTGTAATCCCAGCGCAGGCAGCTGAGGCAGCAGCATCGTCATGAGTTCAAGGCTAGGCTAGATTCCATAGTGGGTTTAAGGCAGCCTGAACTACATAAGTGCCCTTCCATAAGTGCCTGGCTTGCAAGCAGGCAGACGTGAGTTCGATCCCCGGTACTGATAAAAAGGAAAAAGACAAAAAAAAAAAAAAAAAAAAGTGACCTTCACTACCACCACCCCAAATTGCTACAGATTTCATAAATATTTACCTTAGGCCAGTTGACTAAATGAGTTTCAGGCAATTTAATCTAGTAATCTCTGATCCTGATACTTCTGCATTATTTAATGGTTTTCCTAAGGCAGTGATGACTCCTGAGGGTGTAGGGATGAGGCTATTCTAAGATGACCATGCTAGGTGTCGCGGGAGTTACACAGAAGGGGCCTGAGTGAGGAGGACAGTTCAGGTTCATATCACCTGGTGCCAGACGTAGGAAATGCACGTTTTTGGAGAGAGAAATCTGTTCTGAGACTAGATTGCTTGTTTGCAAGCTGAGATTGCTGCTTCTGAGCTGTTAGAAGTAGCATAATGCAGAGACCCTGTACCTGGATTGTTCTTGCAGGCTGCTCCAAGCCTTGAGGAAGCAGAGGAGTGCTTTTAGCTTCCGTCCCCTGAGCTCTTCCCACGGGCTGTCCACACTGCCACCTGCCTGACTGCTTCTCACCCTGGCTCTGGCTTCCTTCTGTTCCTAACCCCACTGATTCCTTGCTAGGTCTGTGCTGATCTGTACCACCTGGGGCTCCCCAAGATGCTGCCCTTGCCAGGGGGCTACTTAGACTTCTTCCAGAGGAAGAATGAGTGGTAATGCTTTAAAAAGGGCAGGCTGTGGCCAAGAGCAATCTAGTGCCCTACTTCACCTGCAGCAGGCTGCCACGTGGACCCTGCACTTGGAGCTTCCACTGTCTTCCTGCGTGCTAGGACACTGCTCCTCCTGTGTCTTTAAAATTTGCAGTTGCTGGTGAGAGAGTCATCATGAGATGGTGCCAGTGGCACAAAAAAATGAGATGTTGTTTGGCCAACCTGCCACCCAGGTATCAAATTGTCATCTGAGATAGAAAAAGGAAGGAAATGGAAAAATTAGGAACCCTTCTGGGTCCCTAGACAGAATCATGGACTTGTTTGGGGGTTTTTGTTTGTTTTTTTGGTTTTGTTTGTTTTTGGAGACAGGTCTCATTGTGTTTCCGAGGCTCACTTTGACCTCCTAGAAGACCTTCCTGTCTCAGGGTCAGACTTTGACAGCACATTTCAGCTCTTCACTCTGGATAGCCCAGGTTGCCACAGAATCAAATGTGGGTTATGAAGAATGAGGCTAAGATGGTTCTCCTGCCTCACCCTTTTGAGATATGGCTGTCTCCACCTTCACTGCTGGGAGATCTCAGGGCTGGGTGAAACGGTAAGGCTCTGTTTATAATCAGGCAGGCAACTGTCCTTCATTCAGGTAGAGGTGGAGAAAGAGCTATTTCCAGGCACATAAAGCCAATTAGATGAGGTTCTTCAGACTACCTCTATATAATAAAAAAAGAACAATAGGACAGAATGAAAAGATTGGAGAACACAGGTGAGCAAAACCATTTGTATTTAGTTCATATTTCATAATCACTCGTACTTTTGGCCTGGCTTGGACTCCCAGTCCTCTGTCCCCTACATCATCTCCGCCTTGCAGAGAGACTGGGCCTCTGTTGTGCTAGTCAAACAAAGGCCCTGGAACATCCACACACGGCCCTGAGCATGAGGGACTCAGGCTTAGGCTGAGGGCAGAGCTCAGGGGTCGAGCACCTGCCTGGCATGCATGGTGCCCTGGAGTCCAGTGCCCAGTGCCACTAACAAGCAATGGCCTGACCTTCAGAAATAAGAGCAAGTTATTCCTGAGACACATGGACTAGACCTGTCTACCTGCCATGGTAGGACAAGCACTGGGGCTTGTTCTGTCTCCTGCTCACTTGCAGTCTTACTTGGGAAGGTTAGTGCTGACGCCATGAAGGAGACAAGATGCTGTGTGTACAGAGAAGGTCAGGTCAGGAAAAATACCTACTGAAAGTACCAGTTACAAGCCCAGTGTGGTGGCACGTGCTAAGGCTCTAGGGAGGCTGAGGCAGGAGAATTGCCATGAGTTGAAGGCCAGCCTGGGTTCGGAATGAGTTCAGTGTCATCCTGAACTACAGAGCAAGACCCTGTCTCAAAACAAAAGAAAGCTAAACAAAACAACAACAACCAAAAAAACTATCAAAAAAAGTGCTAGTTAAGTTTGAAGCATTAGAGCAAATGAAGTCTTATTTATTTATTGACAAGGTCTCACACTGTATGGTTCAGGCTGGCCTTGAGTTCACTATGTACCCCAACCCATCCTTGAACTCAGCAACCCTCCTGCATCAGCCTCCTGAGTTCTAGAATTGCAGGCAGGCACCACCATTCCTGGCTGAGGTATAGTTTTAGCGACTTCAGTCACCTCGTTCTAATGACTGAAGAAATAGAAACTCTGAGTGATGATTACTCACCCAAGGTCACATGGTGGGATAATGATTTTACAACTTTTGAAGATGAATAAAGGTTATTTCTTCTCGTTCTTTCCATCTCATCACAGTAGTAACCTGTAAAGGCTGACTGTCAGTGAGATAAGCACTTCATTACACTGGAAAATGAAGAGAAAGCCAAGGAACAGGACCAACAATAATGATAACTCTTGGTTCTTACTAGTTTTTTTTTTTTTTTTCTTTCTCAGTACCGGGGATCGAACTCATGACTGCCTGCTTGCAAGGCAGGCTCTTATGCCGCTGAGCTAAATCCCCAGCCCTACCAGTGCTTTTTTATGTATTAGTTGTAACTGTAACCAAAGTACCTTTAGAAACATTAGGAGAAGCCGAGGAGGAAATGTATTGCAAGACCATCCCTGTCCTTCAGGAGGTCACAGTCTAGCCAGGGAGAGGAATACACGCATAAAATGACTTGAGAAGATTACAACCACATGTCAACAAGTGCAAAGTAATTGATTGTCAGAAATAAAAGACGTAATGCTGTAGGGTGCAGTGCTGAGGGATGAGGCTGGCTTAGATCGTAGATCACAAGGAGGCAGCCAGCATGCTAAATCCTGCCCCAAATATGCTGAGCTTTATTATTATTGTTGTTGTTCCTGGTGCTGGAGGTCGAACCCAGGGCCTTGTGCATGCTAAGCACACACCCCACAACCCAGCTACAGCCTGGGCCTGACTTTTTTATAATGTTAATGAGAACCCTAGTTGAGAAAGAAAATGCCAGCTAATAAATGCCAAAGAAATGATAGAATTGGAAAAACAGCATTTGTGAATTCTAATAAAATGATCAATTCTGGCATAGATTTAATTTGTGTTGAACAGGTGTTGACACGGGCAGTGTGTGCCTATAATCCAGCTACTCCAGAGACCACGGTGAGAGGATGGGAAGCCCAAAGTCAGGAACAGTTTAGCCAGAGCCTGTCTCCATCAAAAAATTAAAAGGGAGCCAGCTGGGCATGGTGGTGCACACTGATAATCCCAGTGCTCTGGTAGGCTGAGCTAGGAGGATCGCAAGTTCAAGCTCGGCCTGGGCCATTAAGCAACTTGGTGAGCAGCTAAATAAAAATAAAAGGGCTGGGAGCACCAGTGGTGGCAGCGGTGGCAGTGCAGCCCTTGAGAGGAGAGTTCCTTCCTGCAGTGTGATTGATTTGGAGGTGCGAGGTGTCAGAGAAAAAGCAGTGGAAGGTTCTAGAAGTGGTGCTGATTCGGAGGAAAAGGGAGAGGCACATGTCTGGAGGAGAACTGGCATGAGGACAGCGTAGAAGGCGATTTCTCCTCCAGTCCACTGTGAGCAGAACTAGGGAAACATAGTTATGAGACAGAGATGTCATGGCATCCGGAGGTGTTGAAGTGCCCTCCATCCAACTGTGTGCTAAATTCCAGGACAGAGAACCCAAGATGGAGGACTAAAACTCGTTTATTTTGTTATTTGCTTGGATATCTTTTTTTTTTTTTTTTGTAAGAAAATATAAGTGTTTTGACTTGAGGAGGTGGGAAAGGAGAAGAATAGGGGGAAATAGAAGAAAAATAAAGACCTAGAATGCAGCACAGGGGTTGGGGATTTAGCTCAGTGGCATAAGCACCTGCCTTGTAAGCAGGTGGTCGTGAGTTCGATCCCCGGTACCGATAAAAATGAAAAAGATAAAAAAAAAAAAAAAAAAAAAAAAAAGAATACAGCACAGCATGAATTGGGGATGTAGGTTAGTGCTGGAGTGTTTGCTTAGCATGTGTGAAGCCCGGGTTCAATCCCGCTGTAGTAGGAGAAAAGAACTAAAAACAAGTAAATGGCAGGTGGGCAGTTGGACATTCCTACAGTGCCGGTAATAGTCCCAGACCCTAACC